ATCGGGACACGTGATTTTTACAATTTTAACCCATCATGTAGTCTTCATGCATCAAAATAGTTATTTGTCTGTGTTTTGTTCTTTTCTTCAGGCTAAATTAATCTGTTCAGATAGTCTACTGATTGATTTTAAAATGAACAAATGCTGCTTGCTAGAGGTCAAATACATAATTGGAATGCAGGAGATTCAACAAAACAATGATCGAACTCATTAAATGATTTCAGTGATTAAAGAGATTATTACTCTCCTAAGAGGTTATGAATTTAAGTAGTTATATCTATAGGTGTGCGTATTATATATGGTTAAAAAAATATCAACAAATGCTTCTTTCTAATTACTCTATACTATTATATATATATATATATAAGACTAACCTTTTAAGAGATTAGATGAAAAGTTTACTTTTTTACATGAGCAAACTGATTTGGATTCAAAAGAAGCAGTAAAATTTGCATACATGAGAATTGGTTGATCAAAACAAGTTGCAGGTTTCCTTTTATTCACTCTACAACCACCTTAACTAATACATTAAAACCAAAAAGGATTACCAAGGCACCATCACCATCTATTTACAGACTTGTTTTCCTTGGTTTGCCTCCTATTCTCATTGATGACACCAGTTTCAGAAGCCAAGTTAACAAATACCACAAGCATTTGGATTCTCTTCCATGCTTTGAACATAGTAATAAGTGGTCATCTGAGGATTGTATGCTCTGTAGGCCTTGACAAGCTCCAAAACCGGGTCCACCGGTGGCAGCGCCTGCGGCTGTGGTTGCTTCTCTTCCTTCTTCTCCTCCTTTCTTGGCCTCTTCTTCCTTCTTCGCCTCCTCTTCCTTCTTTGGTTCTTCTTCCTTCTTGTGTTCCTCTTCCTTCTTGTGTTCTTCTTCCTTCATCGATACTATACCGGTCGACCAGTTCTTGCGTAATTTGCTCACCACATTCACAACATCAACCGTACCGATCACTGTCAATTGCTTCGCTTTCATATCCATGGTAATGGAATCAATTCCTATCAAGCAAAGCAAAGAGAAAACATGCTAATCAACATGGCCAGCTCAAAAGAACAACATAACATGCAGAAATCACAGAAATTAAGATCAAACACTGACAAGATGAAGAAATTGTTGTCATCAGGGGCGGACCCACGTGGCCCTATAGGCAGCAAATGCATACCCATTTTCTTTGAAAAATTATCAATAGCTAATGTATTATATTAGAAAAAGAAAATTATGTACACCCATTTTTTAGTTATTGTGTTGTTTAAGGTGAATGAGAAGGTTGTATTGATTAAAATATTATTTACTTTTAACTTTGACACAATCATTTTTTGGGGTGTTATGTTGTTTAAACTTATAATGATTAAAATATTATTTTTTTTAGCTTTTACATCATCATTTCTTCACCTTTTTAATTTTTCACTTTTCTTACTTCTAATTTCAATGCTTCTATTTTGTTTTTCTTCAATAAAAAAAATTACAATCTGCCAAGCTTCTGTTTTATTTCTTCACTTTCTCATTTTAATTTAGTCTGAACCAACATTTAAGCGTTATTCACCGATTATTCTCCGGTGAACTTCCTCATTTAAGTTTCTTGCAAGATGTTGCTCCTCTTTTATTTGTAGGTTCTTCACTTATTCTCTTACTCTTTTAAATAAAGTTAAATTTATTTTTTAGTTTTTAAATTTTTTAAATTTATTTTTAATTTGAGTGAATTAAATTAGGAGATTAAATTAATTTTTAGATTCAATTTGATAGATTTTGGTGATTTTGTGAAGAATAATTGAATATTGAATTGTGATACATGAAAATGAAATTATGAATATGCATTTTGAGGATGAGAAAAAATATATTAAATTGTGTAATTTAAATTATGAATATTTTTCTAATTAATAATTATTGTAATTTGTAAATTTTGTAATTATAATAGTGAGAAGATGAATGATGAAGAGATTAAACCCCAACGAAAGAAGAAGAATGAAATGTTGGATTGATTTATTTAAAAGTCTAAAAAAGATTATGCAGTTCTTCCGAAATGTCAATTTGTGTCTCATCACCAATTCAATCTTCAACAACCCAAGCCGAGCAAGAATTTGCATAAAGGGAGATAGAGATCAAGAGCCAAGTTGATGGGGATGTTTTTCTCCAAATCGACGATGAAGTAATCACGAAACGATTTCAAAAAATGAAAGCTCCTCGAGAACAATTGTAATTATTTTCAGTAATAGCAATTTTTTGTACTTTTTGATTGAATTGTTATTTTGGATTGTGGATTATGTAATTTTTTTTTATTAATGAAGATTATAAAAATTAGTTTAGACTCTTATTTTCGAAGTTTTGAATCCGCCACTGGACATAAGATGTTTTTTTTTTAAACAAACAACAATCCAATTAACAAGATTATGTATGTACCTGAAAGAGTTGAGACTGTTTTGAAAGCTTTGTGCTTGGTTTTGTCATCATGCAAGTCCAGCTTCAGCACAATCTTCTGCATTAACAAAAACAGATCTGTTTCGGTAAGCTTTAAAAAAAATAGTCATTTTTTAAATTGGGCATCAAATAAGATTGCAAAAACCAAATATCCCATGGATTCATATAAAAAAAACCCTACAGCCCACAAGCAAAATCCAGAATTTATATTTTATTATAGCCGAAAAGATCAAAAATAAAAAATTCGGCGAAAGGGACACCGTTGATTCTTAGGGTCCATAAAAGTCGTATTCTTTTAATAATCAAAACCAAAATCAAGAACAAAGCCTTACGATTCTCTTAAACCCCACGACAAAAGATATAAACAGAGAAATCGAGACGAAGTTAAAAGCAAATAAAGAATTGGAAAACAGAGAGAGATCCCAAAGGAAGAAGCAGACCTTCATTTGTGATGAGCTTGAGCGCTTACTTTTTCCTCTTTTTTGAGGGAAATTGCAGAGATTCTGAGAAAGTGTTGCAAAAAGAGAAAAGAAAGGGTGTTGAAAACAAGAAAACGGAGAATAATGCGGGATTTGAGAAAAGAATAGAAAGGTTAGGACAGATTATAGAAGGAAAAAAAAAGTCGGAATGAAAACAAGAATTGCATAATAGGAGATAGAAACAAGAAAATTTGAATGTACATGATGTATAATACGAGACAGAGTAAAATTAGGCGATGTTGTTTTTGCAGAGGTAAAAGGTCTGTAATCTGTGGATCATATTGCAGTAGAAGAGGTAATCAAAACTCTACAGTCTAGAAGAGGAAGACTGTTTATTTTTTAACGTCTGCAGACTGCTGAAATAAATAAACTGATTTTTTAAACTATACCAAATAACTATTTTGCTATTAATTTTTTAAAAATTATAAAATATCATTAAATTTAATGAATTATTATAAAATAGTCATTATAATGTTGTAATAAATTATAAAAGTTGACAATATAATAATTATTTTATAGTATTTAGATAAATTTATTAATAATTTTATAATTTTTAAATTTATTGACGAAAATGATCATTTGTATAACTCAACGATATCTAATATACTTTATTTGAAAAATATATTAAATAAATATTATACGAATTTTATTATTATAAATTATTATATATACGGACTATTAGATTTTGGTTTTAATATTATATATCATTTTAAAATTATTATTAAATCAATCGATAATGAAATCAATTTGATTTTAATTCAATCTGTTTGTTTCGGTTTAAATAATTGTTAAAAAATTATATTTTAATTCTCAATTATTATCGATTCACAAATATATCAATACTCGATTTTATAATATCATTTAAATCATCTTAATTTATTCGAGTGGTACAATCCGATTCTAATAACATCAAAAATAAATATATAATATATACTCCATATCATATACATAAATTAGTATTTTTCTATTTAGAAAAAAATACATTATTTGTTATTTATTTATTTATTCTGTATAAAACGACTTTCGTACTTTACCAGAATTAAATGATAAAAATCAAATTTTTCAGTAGTGTAAATATTTTTTTATTAAAACATTTATTTTGTCTTTTAATGCTAATAATTGTATGTCCCCGTGATTTTCTAAGTTTTTATATAAAAAAAAGTTTACTAAGTTTAATTGTATAATATTTTTTACTAAGTTTAATATATTTTTTCAAATAAAATACATTAGATATGTTTGAGTTATATACAAATGATCATTTTCGTCAATAAAGTTTAAAAAACTATAAAATACTTATTAAATTTATTAAAATATTATAAAATTATTAATAAATTTATCTAAATACTATAAAATAATTATTATATTATCGAATTTTTATAATTTGTTACAACATTATAGTGACTATTTTGTAATAATTCATTAAATTTAATGACATTTTATAATTTTAAAAAATTAATAGCAAAATGGTTTTTTGAAGAGGTTAGAAGAGTTTTTAAGACATAAGTCCACGTCTGCGCCAAGAAGAGGACACGCAAACGTTCGAAGAGCTTCTATATTCTAAAAAACAAATGGTCTGCGAAGTCCAATGTCTGCGCGTGGTCTGCGCGACAAAGACATAAGATTATAGAAGATCAATGAACCGAAAACACCTGGTAAAATGATTTTATTGCAAACTACAATGTGTAATCTTTAAACAAACTACAATTTTCACCACTCTATTTCTTCTCACTCACATTTTGGTCATTATATTTTTTTTCAATTTAATTTCTCAATTTTAGAGATTTTTTATTAATATATTCTTAAATAATTAACGACATTATGATATGATAACACTTTAAAAAATTCATATCTAAATAATGTAAGATTTGAGAAACTCATGATCAAAACTTATTTACTTTAAGTTACTAAAAATAAATTTTGAACTTAATCATACTCATATCAATATAATAGTAAAATAGTTTTGTTGTCTTCTTAGATACTTTGAGATCATAACATTCAAAATTGTCCTTGAATGACATAGTGATATATATTGTTTAAAAAATGTGTTTGAAGTCTTGAAATTAATAAGTTTTGGTCATGAGATTCTTAAATCTATATCGTTTATATACATATATATATATATATATTCCTTAAAATGTTTAAGTATAAGTTTTAAATATTTATTCATTGATTGATTGAATATGAGGCTTATGCATGCATTTCATTAATGTTGTTCTTAGGGATGAGTATAAAATTCGAATTCGATCCGATCTTATCGGGTCAGTTTTTTTTTTAAAAAAAATTCAGATTCAGGTCAGGTCGGATTCAAGTTTATAGTGAAAAAAATCCTATCCGACCTAAATAGGAAAATATAATTTTATCTTATATATTTAGGGATAATTACACTAATACTCCTATATATATATATATATATATTATTTGTTGTCAATTAAATCCCTATTGTTTATTAAATAAAAGTAATATTTTTATAAATATATTATTTCGGATCGGACCGTATCGAGTTCAGATTTTATCTCAAAAAGACGAATTAGATGAATGATATATATTTTTCGAATCATGTTCAGATCAAATGGAATGTGTATAATTTTTGGGTCAGACCGAATTGATCGTAAACCCGACCTAACGGGACCTATATCATCACAAAGACGTTCTTCTCATACTCGTACTACTTACTTTAATGTCATAAAAAGATAATAAATATGAAAAATTCAACTCTAGGTTGATGATAAATTCGAACATTAAAGCTCCAGTTGATGTTATTTTTCTTTAAAAAGTTTAAATGTTGAATAAGATAGCGAATATTTAAAAGTAGTTTTTATTTAATTAAAATTTATTTATAATTTTACAAATATCTTCATTTAATTTATTTTTTGTATTTCAAATTAAATTAATCTTTTTTTTTTTATTTTTTGATATTAAACTTATAATATTGTGTGCGGAAGTGAGAGAGAAATATTTATAATATTATAATATTAAATTTATTTTTATTTAATAAAATTTTCACATGTCATATTTTTAACGGTTCACAATTTTTTAATATAAAGAAAGAGATGATTTTATTAAATATATATTTTTAATTTAAATTTAAAATAAAATAATAATATATTAATAATAAATTTTAAGATAAATCGAAGTTAATTTAAGATCAAATAAAATTTGAAATTATCAACAACAAGAAAAGGTTAAGTGTCGAATTAGAAAAAACTAGTAAACTTTAGGGCAAAAAGTGCATTACGCCTTTTTTTTCTAATTGAAACGTTTTAAGTTGTGTGCTTGATTCAAAGAAACGTGGGCACGGCACGTAACGTAACTCAAGTCTCCAATTTAGGCTTGACACAGAGTGTGGTCCCCGCTAAAACCCTTAAACTATAGTAGTTTATTTAAATAGGTCCTTATATTAATATGTGTACCAAAATGAATGATAATTCCTCTTCTTTAATACATATTCAAATAAAAACTTAAATTTGATTTGACTTTTTTTACCCAAAATGATATATAATTTAAATTACAAAACTATAAAAAAAATTATTTGACATGATTATAATATTTTAACCTATTAACATGTATCCTATATGTAAATATAATATTTTATAATATTGTAAATATATTTTATAATTTTAATTTGTATTTGATTTATTAAATAACATTCTAATATGCAAAAGAATATGAATATATATATATATATATATATATATATATATATATGATTAGAGAAAGTTGAAAAAATGGAATTAATTCGTACCATACTATTATAAATAATTACAATTAAACTTGTATAGAAACTCAAACTACTTGAATCGACTCGAATTTCATAAATTCGACTCGAAACATTTCAAATTAAGTTATAGTCATAAAATGTGACTCGTCAACTCTAATAACTCGAAATTTTTTGATTCGATTCAACTCAACTCAACTAACTCAATCAAATAATCGCCCCTACTAAACTATGTACATGGTATATGATAAAATTAATGGAACGGAAGAGAGTGATTAAAAATGAATAAAAATAAAATGAAAATGACCATTTTGATAGGTTACCCGTTACCAGAAAACATATTGAAGGTGGGAGGGTTCCGTTTCAACGATTTTGAGGACCGAGTAAATGAATAATTGGGCCATGGCGTTGATTGCCTGCAAAATATTCGATCCACACTCGACAGTGGATTTTAAAGTTTTAACCATTGCCCATTTCCTCTTCTTTATTTGAATGTATCGCGCCCATGCCCTCCTTCCAGCTACAGGGGTGGTTCGTTTTAACCTTTGCATAATGGCTATTGCCCAAATTAAGTAATATGTAATTCCTTCTCTCATGACTGTTCTATTTACGCCCAAGCCCTCAATTTCATTTATTTCCCTACGATATATCGTTTCGTTATTCATGTTTATCCCCTGATTTCATTGATTTTCCCAATCATTTCCCAATTCTCACCCTGCTAAAGCCATGGGCTATCAACAGCGTGATCCCTTGCAAATTCCAATCCCGAAAACCTCAGATCCTTACGATACCATAAGCAATTCATCTGCGTGGTTGGAAATCCGTCTCTTTTACATTCGAATCGCGCCCTGCCTAGTTGACAGCGTGCCGGATCACCTCACCCTCTACTACCTCCGCCATGAAATTGGTTTCTTGCTCGAAATCAACGGCTCCTGTGTCCCGGCTTCTGATTCCGCTTCGTTTACCCTCCGCCGCGACCGTCTCAACCGAGAATCATCCGAGGTCACTTATGTAAGTACGGATAGCGTTCGCGTCACGGGAGGGTTTGAATTCGAGGTGCACGAGAATGAAAAGATGATGTTGTGTGGCTCTTTGGAGAGGATGGAAGGCGAATGGAGCATGGATTGTCATCTATCAGCAGCGGTAATGAAGCCTGGGAATTCTGCCTTTTTCAAAGGAAAAAGGGGGTTTCAGTGCCGGGAATTGAAGTTTATATAGCGGGGTGTTCTGCGGGTGTGCCCATGATATTGACCAAGACGATACCCGTGAGTCCTCGGAGGAAAAGTGGAACGAGGCTTAGTTCGATGCTGGATGCAATTCCTGAGGATGAGGAGATTGACAAAGGGAATAATAAAGATGGAAATGGATTGATTAGACACCGCAATTTACAGGTAAAACTGGCATTTCAAGTGATTATAAATCCACAATGTAGATTTTGAATTCCATCATGTTAAGGGAATTGACGTAGTGTGAGAAATCGATTGTTTTAGAAATCTTACATTAGAGATGTTATTTATGCCCTTAGCATATGAAGAATGTTATTGCTTTTATAAGTATGCTGATTTGAATTGTGATGTTTCTGGCTTTGTGTTGTATGTAAATGGTGGTAGGGACGGTTGTAGGATTTTACATTAGGGGCAAACTTATAAAATTTTAGGGGACGAACATAGATTTTCAGTAGAAAATATCTAAACTATACCCCTCCTCGCCTAGGTCCATCCTTGCATGGTGCGATCTAAGAGGTTTATTCTGGTCTTAGAGAGTAGGTTCTATCAGGGATGGCACATGATTTTATGTTAGGAGTGCGAATTTAAGAGTTTGTATTAGAAATGTAGGAGGTGCAAAATTATAAAATTTAAGGGGATGTGAAATTAAATCATCAATAGAAAATACAAGAAAAATACTTAATCTATGAGGATTTAAAATTTCCAGGTGTGCGACAGCACACCATCTTCGGTCCATTCCTGGGTGCCACAGATATGCATGCAGACGTTTTTAGGGATACAATGTTGTTGCTTTGCCACTGTTTCCTTATAAAGGATTGCTGTTGTCTGTGTCATTATAACGAAGATTGGATTCTTCGTTTGTAACTTCAAGTCCTTGCAGCTGCTTGTTAATAAAGTGGAACAGCTTAGGTTATTTATACTTTTCCACCCCAACTTGTCTCCTAGATTCAATTTTGAGTGCCTTAAGGGGGAAATTTAATTTTTTGTTAAGTCCCAGAAGCATAACAGCAACAGCTGCCTGTTATGACAACCGATGACATACCAAGGTTTAAAAAAAATGATAACGGGAATACTGAAATGAGTTCATTTAGTGTTCTGACATATTTTTAGAAAACGACTTTGGCCCTTTTTGTGCTTACTGAATTTGTCCAGAACTGGATTTCCTGTCATCACATGCTGTTCTTTTTTATTTTGTAGATTGCAGAACCTGAACTTGAAGATTATGACGACGATGGGAAAATTGGACACAGTTACTACTCTGAAGATATGTATGCTGGTGAGGATGGTCAACTTTCATGGTTTAATGCTGGTGTTAGAGTTGGTGTTGGAATTGGCCTTGGGATGTGCCTTGGGGTTGGAATCGGAGTTGGGCTGCTAATGCGATCATATCAAACAACTACTCGGAACTTTAGGAGAAGGTTTTTCTAAGATAGATCTCTTTCTGGTATAAAAGGTAAAGGATAAATCTTTCAGGATTTTGGTAGCAGTCTGGAAGATATCACTGTTGCAGGCCAAGAATTATTGACGAAAAGCTCAAGATAGCAATTAGCAACTCAAACTTATAAATGTGAGGACCGGTAGGTTGGTGGATGGAATTCGGCTCTAAGCAGCGTGGCTTCTATCCGAAGAGGAGAAGGTGATGATGCTGCCACAGAGTTGTTCAACAGTTGGTGTGATGTATATATCCAGTATTCTGCATGTTTCAATTCAATAGTTGCAAGGTGTTTTAAATTTGTAATTTTATTATATTATAGTTGTATCCTGGATCAAAGCATTGATCATGAGAGAAGAAAAACTTCAGTTTCAAGTAAATTCTATATCGGCTTTTTGGTAAGCTACTTGAAAGACTCTGCTCATTTGTACTATATACATTTGCAAAGGCAAAATGCGGATTCATCCAGCTAATTGTAAAAAAAAAATTGGGACATAACAAAAGGGTGCCTTTTCACAGTTTACCTCATAAATCTCCATCATCAAAACATTAGCCCTTCCAAATGCTCATATTTGCACCCATAAACCCTAACCGCCCAACAGAAACTCTTTACACTACCCCACACCTTCTCTCTGTCTTTCATTGGAGACAATAGCGTGGGATCCCAGATGAATACGTCAATCCCAACGACCTCGTCTGGGCTCAGATCCTCTGCCACAATGCCTCGCCGTAACAACCCTACGCCTCTCCCTTTGGTCGTTTCCCTCAACTGCGTGGAGGACTGCGTCCTCGAACAAGAATCATTGGCCGACGTAGCACTCGTGGAGCATGTCCCTCTCAGCCGCTTAGCCGATGGGAAGATCGAGACCGCCGTGGCTGTCCTCCTTCACTCCCTTGCCTACCTTCCTCGAGCTGCCCAGCGACGCCTCCGTCCTTACCAGCTCATCCTCTGTCTCGGATCATCTGACCGCGCCGTCGACTCTGCCTTAGCCGCTGACCTCGGACTGCGTCTTGTACATGTCGATGTCTCACGAGCTGAGGAGATCGCTGACACTGTCATGGCGCTATTTCTTGGCTTGCTCCGTCGCACGCACTTGCTCTCTCGTCACGCGCTTTCCGCTTCCGGATGGCTCGGCTCGGTTCAGCCGCTTTGTAGGGGAATGAGGCGGTGCCGAGGACTAGTGTTGGGAATTGTTGGCAGATCTGCGTCCGCCCGGTCTCTGGCATCCAGAAGCTTGGCCTTCAAAATGAGTGTGCTTTATTTTGATATTGTGGAGGTAAATAAAATGCAGAAAGTTTACCCCTTTTTTTTCCTTCAGAAATTGGACTTTTAACAGTTAGAACCCACTTCATTGTTATAGTCTTCATTTGTTATTTAATCGAGAAAAATTGGTAATTAGGTGAAAAATCGAAGGAACAAATTAGTCGTTTTTCTTTTGGGTTAAATCCCAGCATTTCGTGCTTGCATATCACGACTGCTGTTCAAAATGCGCACTGTCTGAAATGTTTAAGCATAATTTTATGGAACTGTTACCTGTGGAAGACTTAAGTGTCTTCTAGCATGTTATTGGGTAAATTAAAAAAGATTAATGGATCTATTGCTGATTGTATTTAAAGGAGAAAAGGTCTTCACATTTTTGTTTAGCGGTATATATGTATATAATATGTTGCGTGCATGGTCTGTTAATTGTATTTAAAGGGGAAATGATCTACAAAATTTTATGTTGGAATAAATCTTCCCTGATTCATGTTTTCAGGAAAATGGAAAAGTAAGTAGGTCTTCTATAAGGTTTCCACCGGCTGTCCGTAGAATGGATACTCTTAATGATTTACTTGCTGCAAGTGACCTTATATCACTTCATTGTGCTTTAACAAATGAAACTGTTCAGATTATCAATGCTGAATGCTTGCAGCATGTAAAACCTGGTACATTTGCTTCATATTTTGAGATCTTTTTTTTTTCTCTCGTTAAATTATAACTCCTACTTCATTTGTCTAAATTTGTTTCGCTTTGGGGTTACTTCCATTCAGGGGCTTTTCTTGTGAATACGGGCAGCAGCCAGCTCTTAGATGATTGTGCATTAAAGCAGCTTCTCATCGATGGCACCTTAGCTGGTTGCGCTCTTGATGGAGCTGAAGGGCCACAGTGGATGGAAGCATGGGTATGACAAAATATCTTAGGCAATGAATTCTAGTGTTCTGCGTGATACTGTTTCTTTAGGAAGGTAGTCACTAATCAAATATGACATCTATGCTTCAGGTGAAGGAGATGCCCAATGTATTGATACTTCCACGAAGTTCAGATTATAGTGAAGAAGCCTGGATGGAGATAAGGGAGAAGGCTATCTCTATGTTGCAAACTTTTTTCTTTGATGGGGCTATTCCAAAGGATGCCATTTCTGATGAGGATGAGGAAGAAAGTGAAATAGTCGATGAAAAAGGATTTAGCATACAGGACAAAGAAAGTGCTTTGCAAGGATCTAGTGGTGAACAGTTGATCAATGAGATCCAACCAAGTCCTGAAAGCTCCGTCAGAAAGGATTCCAATCAATCGAAGCAGTCTCCTAATCAAAATCTGGGTTCTGGTTTATCTCATAATATTGCCACCGAATCAGGTGGGAGACGCAGCAGATCAGGAAAAAAGGCCAAAAAGAGGCTGGCCCGTCAAAAAACCCTACAGAAATCAGATGAACCCTTAATCTTAGAGAAAGAAAGTACTTCACAAAGAGAAGATGACACTGCTATTAGTGGTACTGATCAGGCACTAAGTTCTCGGTCTCGGTCTCCTGAAGACTCGAGAAGTAGGAAAACCCCTATGGAATTAATGCAAGTTTCAATGTCTGATCAGCTTCTTAAAACTAGCAAGAAACTAAGTGGCCTGTCTGGTGGTTCACTGAAGGATGGATATATTATAGCTTTGTATGCAAGAGATCGTCCTGCACTCCATGTATCCAGGCAAAGAGTTAAAGGTGGTGGTTGGTTCCTAGACACCATGTCTAATGTAACCCAAAGAGATCCTGCAGCACAGTTCCTTGTTGTCTACAGAAACAAGGTTCGTTGGCAGGAATTTGTGACATTTGCAGTTTGTCTTTACTTTCTGCCTTTGCTTAAAATTATTATGATGGACGTTTCTTGAGTTTATTTTATATAGCCTTTGGGTCAACAAAGTTGAAATTTTATGCATGTTCTTCAGGAGACCATTGGTCTACGTTCTTGTGCTGCTGGTGGGAAATTGCTGCAGGTAACTTTTTCATTTTTACCATTTATTAGTTTGTTTCTCCAAGGATGGATTAACTAAAATCTTGTACTATCATCTGATTGATTCTTACCACAATAAATCTCACTATGAATCTGTTGAAAGTAGAGGAATACCCTTTTTTTTATTTTCAATAATCAAACAGGTTACACGTTCCCTAAATATATATGCTGAAACACCTAATTTCTAGGGATATATACAACTTACCTAGAATAGGATCAAATCTATCTAAAACAGAAAGAAATAAACAGGAAATAAATATATAAGGATATGGTAACAAGCTACCAGAATCCCTTAATATATGGAACTGAATATTGATCTGTTTGACTCTAGATTTCCTTAATTTCGGCCCTCTAACATGCAGACAGATATGCATTCAAACTAAACTCCAAATAATTCTACACTCCCCCTCAAGCTGGATGGTAAATGTTAATTAACCCCAGCTTGGAACTTAGATCATCAAAAGTCTTTCTTGGTAGAGCCTTAGTAAGAATGTCGGCTGTTTGAAGACATGTGGGTACATATAGCATTTTGATCATCCCTTCCTCTATCTTCTCCTTTATGAAGTGCCGATCAATCTCCACATGCTTAGTTCTGTCATGATGGATTGGATTCTTGGCAATGCTGATTGCTGATTGGTTATCACAGAACATCTTCATAGGTTCTCCACTAGAAATTCTTAATTCCTCTAGTACCCTTCTTAGCCATATTCCCTCACAAATACCATGGGCCATTGCCCGAAATTCAGCTTCTGCACTGCTCCTTGACACCACTGATTGCTTCTTACTTCTCCATGTGACTAGATTTCCCCACACATAAGTACAATACCCTGAAGTTGATCTTCGGTCTTGTATTGATCCTGCCCAATCTGCATCACTGAACACCTCTATGTCTTCTTTGATTCTTCTCAAAAATAATCCTTTCCCTGGTGTTAGCTTCAGATACCTTAGGATTCTATACACCGCCTCCATATGTTCTTCATTTGGATTGTTCATAAACTGACTTACCATGCTGACTGAAAAACCAATGTCTGGTCGTGTGTGAGAAAGGTAGATTAGTTTACCTACTAGCCTTTGGTATCTGCCTTTATCCACCGGTGCACAATTTTCTTTAGTGCCTAATTTTGTTGTTGAATCCATAGGTGTGTCCGCTGGCTTACATCCAAGCATCCCAGTTTCTTTTAAAAGATCCAGTACGTATTTTCTTTGGGAAACACAGATTCCCTTTCTTGACCTTGCAATTTCCATGCCTAGGAAGTATTTGAGCTGTCCAAGGTCCTTGATTTCAAATTCCTTAGCTAGAAGACCTTTGGTAGTGTTGATTTCTTCCTCATAATCTCCTGTTAGGATAATGTCATCCACATATACAATGAGGATAGCCAGTTTTCCTGCAAATGAGTGTTTGACAAACAAGGTGTGATCTGATTGACATTGAGAATAGCCATGATTCTTTATTACCTTGGTAAATTTCTCAAACCAAGCTCTTGGTGATTGCTTGAGCCCGTATAATGATCTTTTAAGTTTGCAAACTTTGTTGTCAGTTTTCGGTGTCTCAAATCCTGGAGGGATTTCCATGTAAACTTCCTCAGCTAAGTCCCCATTTAGAAAAGCATTCTTGACATCTAGTTGGTGAAGGGGCCAATCAAGATTTGCAGCTAGTGATAGGAGAACCCGAACTGTGTTTAACTTGGCTACTGGGGCAAATGTTTCTTCATAGTCGATTCCATATGATTGAGTGAATCCCTTTGCCACTAGCCGTGCCTTGAAACGATTAACACTTCCATCTTCATTGTACTTGATTGAGAATATCCATTTGCATCCTACTGGCCTTTTTCCCGATGGTAATTTTGATATTTCCCAGGTGCCATTCTTTTCCAGTGCATTTATTTCTTCAAGCACAGTAGCTTTCCACTCAGGAGATCCAAGAGCTTCTTGTATGTTATTTGGGACCTGAGTGCTGTCGAGGCTGGCAACAAACGACTTGAATTTTGGTGACAGGCCTTCATATGATATAAAGGTGTATATAGGATGTTTTGTGCAAGTTCTAACCCCTTTCCTCACGGCAATAGGATAGTCACTGTCATCACCAGTTAGTTTACTCTGTGAGGGCTCAGGATTAGGATTACCTAAAGGATCTTCACAAGATCTTGGACTAGGATCAGATTCTTGGTTTTGCTGCAGAGGTGCTGGATCTTCACAAGATCTTGGACTAGGATCAGATTCTTGGTTTTGCTGCAGAGGTGCTGGAGGTTCCATCTCCTTTTGGTTCTTTCTCCTCCGTGAATAGGTAATCAACTCATTATTAGTTGTTGATTTACTAATGTCCAGATTTTGGTATGAAGATTCTAGGGAGAGATGTTGTTGAGGAGAAATAGAGTTAGAATTTGGAGAGAGCTGAACTGATTCATCAATATCCCAAATTTGATATTCCTGGGTAAAATTGGTCTCCCCCTGAATATCAGATTTGGGGTAGTAGGGCTGGTGCTCAAAAAATGTAACATCCATGGAGTGGTAGTACTGTTTAGTGACCGGAGAGTAGCACTTATACCCCTTTTGAGTTGGAGAGTACCCAAGGAAGATACACTTAAGTGCTCTAGGATCAAATTTATCCCTTTTATGTTGATGGACATGAACAAAGGCTGAACACCCGAAAACCTTGAAGGGAATAGTGTTGATGAGACGTGTATTTGGGAAAAACTGAAGTAAGGTTTGACAAGGACTTTGAAAGTTGAGAATCCTAGATGGCATCCGGTTTATGAGGTATGCTGCAGTGAGAATAGCTTCACCCCAGAAATGTTTCGGTACATGAGTAGAAAATATAAGAGATCTTGCAACATCTAGAAGGTGTCGATTTTTCCTTTCAGCAATTCCATTTTGCTGAGGGGTGTTGACACATGAGCTTTGATGAATGATGCCATGACTCAAGAGATAATCATTGAGTATGAATTTGAAGTATTCTTTGGCATTGTCAGTTTTCAGAATTTGGATTTTGGCTTGGAATTGAGTTTGTATCATGGTGTTGAAGTTTTTGAAAATCTGACCTGCCTCTGATTTTTCTTTCATGAGAAAGACCCATGTAAGCCGAGTGAGATCATCAATAAATGTAATGAACCAACGGGAACCAGTCACATTTTTTAGTTTAGATGGCCCCCAAACATCACTGTGAATCATTGAAAAAGGATGGGATTCTTTGTAAGATTGGTTGGGATAAGAATTACGGACATGTTTAGAGAATTGACAAATTTCACACTTGAACTCATTTGGATTTTTATTATGAAATAGAGAAGGAAACAGCTTCTCAAGATACAAGAAATTCGGATGGCCTAATCTATAGTGTCATAACATGATTGCACTATCATTATTAGAACAACTGACAGAAAAAGAAGTAGGATTACCAGACACTAGACAATCGGACTGATAAGTTGTGCCTTGAGGAGGATTTGTAACCTCGAGAAGATAGAGTCCCGAGCACATTTTAGCACTGCCAATCGTCTTCCTCGAGTCCAAGACCTGAAATTCACACATGGTTGAACCAAATTTAGTCACACAATTCAGGTCTCGAGTAAGTTTACTAATGGACAGTAAATTGCAATTCAAATTTGGCACAAGAAGGACTGATTCAAGTGTAATATTCTCTGATACTTTAATAGAACCTATACCAACCACTTTTGAGAGTGAACCATCGGCTATTCTGACCGTTAAGTGTTTATCACATGGACTGTAAGTAGAAAATAGGTCCTCATTTCCAGTCATATGGTCTGAAGCTCCAAAATCTATAATCCATGGATTTGACGTCTCTTTTTTAACACCGAGAGCGCTTAAAAAATTACCTTTTTGGGCTAAGGACCCAGTACCAACCACAGTGGAGGTTTGGGCATGCAAAGACTGGTTGAACAGCTTCTGTAGAACCTCTAATTGTTCCTTGCTGAATGGAGTGGGTTCAGGTGAAGGTTTGTCATCCATTGAGGCAAAATTGCCTCGCCCCTCTTTGTCGTTGGCAGACCAAGAAGACTTCCAATCTGCAGGCTTACCATGAATTTTCCAGCAAGTGTCTCTGGTGTGACCAGGTCGGCGGCAGTGATCACACCAAGGGCGTCCTTTCTTTGGTTTGGTGTCATTGTTGTTGTAGGAGTTCCCTCTAACAGCAAGGGCTGAGCTCTCAAGACTTGTCATTGGTTCTTGAGAGCCCATCATGATTTTCTTTCGACTCTCCTCTCTCCTAACTTCAGAAAAAGCCTCCCGGATATTAAGTAGAGGTTTGGATCCCAAGATTCTTCCTCTTACTTCATCTAGATTTTTATTTAATCCAATCAGAAACTTATATATTCTCTTCCGTTCAATGATCTATCTATACCTGATTCCATCATCTAGGCAGCTCCAATTGTGCTCCTCGAACAAGTCCAGTTGTTGCCAATAGCGGTTGAGTGTATTGAAGTACTGGGTTACTGTTAAATCTCCTTGACGGAAGTCATGGAGAACACTCTCCACTTCAAACAACTCAGATGTATTCTCATTGTTGGAATACGTTTCCTTTGCAGCCTCCCAGATTTCCCTTGCTGTTCTGTAGAGTAGAAAGTTCTCTCCGATTTCATTTGTCATGGAATTGATGAGCCATGACATGACCATATTATTCTCGGAATTCCAGATTTTGAACTTCTCATCATCCTGGCTTGGCTTGGCAGCCACTCCTTTGAGATAATCATCCTTTCCTCTTACGCATATGAACATCATAACAGAGTGGGACCATTGGAGATAGTTGTTCCCATTCAGTTTGTGTCCTGTAATGGGCATGGGATTGCTATCTCCACTACTGTTACTGGAGGCCATGGCTACCTGGTTGGAGGTGATTTGGGACACGGAAGCAGTTGAGTCACTTCTCCCGTATTTGGTTATATGAGGGATTTAGGGTTCAGAGAATGCTCTGACACCATGTTGAAAGTAGAGGAATACCCTTTTTTTTATTTTCAATAATCAAACAGGTTACACGTTCCCTAAATATATATGCTGAAACACCTAATTTCTAGGGATATATACAACTTACCTAGAATAGGATCAAATCTATCTAAAACAGAAAGAAATAAACAGGAAATAAATATATAAGGATATGGTAACAAGCTACCAGAATCCCTTAATATATGGAACTGAATATTGATCTGTTTGACTCTAGATTTCCTTAATTTCGGCCCTCTAACATGCAGACAGATATGCATTCAAACTAAACTCCAAATAATTCTACAGAATCGGTTCCCTAAATTTGTTGTTAAGTAATTGATTAGAGCCATTTATTTTTAATAGAGTTTTTCTTTTTTGAAATCCTCTTTATTTTGTTAATGTATTCATTTTATTAGAGTGAAACAATACTTCTCTCCAAGTAGTGCCTCTATTTGGTTACTTCTTATGAAGGATTTATGCTTTAGCTTATCATGAGAATAATGCAATTCCTATGGCATTATCATCCCTGAAATAATGGTGGCTTTTTTTGGGTCTCAAAAAGAGAACTCTAGAGTTGCCTAGATCAAAAGTTACAGCTTTTAGGTCAAATGACTGATTCCAGTTGCAATTTATCAAAAAAAAAAAAACTTATATCTTTGAGGTACTAAATAAGATTATGTCTAGTGTGGTTGACGCAGTGAGATTTTTCCTTCTTTTCTAACTTTTGTTCCAATATATTTTAAGTTTGTGCTTTGTAGTGACGTTAGGTTTTAATTCCGTGTCTTGTCATGGCAGATTAATAGAAGAATGGAGTTTGTATTTGCTAGTCACAGCTTTGATGTTTGGGAGAGTTGGACGGTGCAAGGTCCTTTGGAGGAATGTAGGCTGGTCAATTGCAGAAACCCTTCAGTAAGTTCCCCTTCATTTTGTGCCATCAGCTGCATGTTGAGTGGTAATTAAGAATCCTTCTAGTTACATAGGTATAAGATTTGAGCTGATTGCGGAGCTTATATACACTGACTAGTAGATCACCACCTTTTAATTCTGAGGGCAGGCGTTCTGTCTAGAGATCGATACCCCCTTATTTCCTTTGCCATGTTATCTTCTCATGAATTGATTGAAACTGCTTTGAACGGCAGGCGGTTTTGGATGTACGCATAGAGATTCTGGCAGCTATAGGGGATGATGATGGGGTCACTCGCTGGCTTGATTAGATTGTGAACATATTTGGAGCGGCTGACCATTTTTCTTTCTGGATTTTAAGTTTTAGTCTTCTGAGTTTGAATGTTGTGCATCGAGTGTGTAAAGCATTCTTTTTTATTTTTGGAGGGTTTTAGAATGGATTTGTTATGGTGTGAGCCTAATGATGTAATGAATGTACTTTACGCGAGAGGTTTCCATCTTTTCACTCCGAACAAGTAAAAAGGAAAATCCAGTACAGTCCCAAAGTATGAAACGTGCGGGCTTGGTTTTGCTTTAGATTACAATTGTCACTCACGTGACCTTGATTGCAATAATTCCTAAGCAAATTGGAGCCATTTATCCCATGCTTTACATCGACGAAACCATTATTTTACGAAAATCCCCACTTCTTTTCTTTTCCTGCTCATAATAACATGCCACAGCTTACACATCAAGCAAACCGAACCCAAATTGGCAGTCATACCCTAAATCAAAAAACTATTTATTTACGTGACTAAAATTATTAAATTATTCAATTTTAATTACTGGATTTTAAAGAAAGTCTAACATTTTAAAAATAAATGAATAAGTAATAAATTATATTTTTGTCGACTTTTGAAGCACTTGCTTGTTACCGTCTGATTGGCGAAGTTAAAAGGTCAATCCGCGTCCTAATCTTCCACAGTTGGTACAATTCTAGGTACAACCTTTAAGAAAACAACTAAAAATGATTCTTAAACAACGTGGTGGATATGATCACGCCCTTGAGTCCTCACTTCGAACCAGCTCATGCCTTACGTGTCCTCATATTCATAATTCTTTTAAATGCGAAAGGCAGATTATATTCCCCCCCCCTCTAATTTTAACTTTATATGTTAATTTTATAAAAAAATCGTAACATCAAATTTTATTTAAAATATTAATTATATATTTCTTGGTGTATATGAACATTAAAAAGTATTTTATTGATGCGTTTCAACCCTATAACAGTAAACCGACATTTGAAATTTTGTTAGCAATAAGTAGCTTCACTCTATTGGGTGTTAACTTTATAAAATTAATAAGATGAAATAAAAAGTAATGGACATTGAGGACGACTAGTATTACATTTCACTTTTTACAGTAATTTCTCAGTAAAAGAAAAAACAAAACAAAAAGGGTAAATCCAAGGTAAGCGGCAAACCAAACCGGTAAAACCTGTCCCTTTGAAAGCGGTACAGAATCCTAACTGCCATACCCAGTAAAACCCCATTTTTTTCTCTATTAAAAAAATAAGACTCAGATCCACCACTTGCCTCCCCCACTAATCTAATGGTTTGTATCATTCCACGTGTACGGCCACGTCTCTCCCCTCCTTTAGGTAAAATCCAGAAATGTGAGTTTCTCTCCTTTTATAAAGCCTGGATTTGTCAGTTTCTCACCGCCTTTTGTTTGACTTGCAGAAGAACGAACGAACGAACGAACGAGCTGATACCGAAAAACGAAACCCACCGAAGCTAAGCACTGAAATCATAATCAAAGAGAAGCTAAAGGTTGCGAATTTTTCGAGCTTATGGTGTCCGTCAACCCCAACCCGGCTCAAGGTTTTTACTTTTTCGATCCCATTAATATGGGTCTCCCCGGTGTTAATTCTGTGCCGCCTCAGGCCCCACCTCCCTCCACCTCCACTGCTAGTAACACAACCGTATATTCGGACGATCCCGCAAAGAAAATCCGGAAGCCTTACACTTTTACCAAGTCTAGAGAGAGTTGGACTGAGCAGGAGCACGAGAAGTTTCTCGAAGCTCTTCAATTGTCAGTAAATTTTCTTAATTCTTTCTAAAATTTACGGATTTTGTTTATTTGTTGTTTTATTAATCTTATTTTTTTGCTGGGAATTAGTTTTTTAAAATTGGGTGTTGTTAATTCATGGTGAAATGTAGTTATAATTATTGCTTGTAATGATTAGAGTTTATGTTTTGGCGGTTTTTAGTTCAGCTAGTGTGGTTTAGGGTCTGCAACTGCAATAAAAGTGGATGTACCAAAACTATCTCAGACCGCAATTTGAATCTCCGGTCTGCAGTCTACACCGCTTTTATTTATTTTTCTTGTAATTTATTTCAATGATCTGGTTTTATCTATGCAAAAAATGACCTTTTTTTTAGTGGATGGAATAAGATACTGATTCTAAGTCTGCACTCCATGTATAAGGGATTAAGTTAATTGAATACATACTGTCATAACGTCTCCCTCAAGTACCCGTTAGACTTAAAAATTTTAATTTCGGGTTGAAAATAATTTAATTTTGGAGTGGGCACCAAACTTTAAGTCAGGTAGGTCGGAAACCGGACAAAAATGGGTGTCTACACATACATTTTAAATTAGTGTTAACCCCCAAGGGTATTTCAACATTGAACAAGTCTGTTGCTTTACATTTTTTAGGCCGACTTTATGGCTCACGGTGCTGATTTTTTTTTTATTATTTCGCATTACTCGTTTTAGATTTGATCGTGATTGGAAGAAGATTGAAGCATTTGTTGGGTCAAAGACAGTGATCCAGGTAATTTAGAAGATTTCATGGTTTCTTTCCACAAGTACTAGTCTATTTGTTGTTTTCAACATGTTTTACTGAATGTTTCAATGGATGCTCTTGGCAGATCCGTAGTCATGCACAGAAGTATTTTCTAAAGATTCAGAAAAATGGGACTAGTGAACATGTACCTCCCCCTCGACCAAAAAGGAAAGCAGCTCATCCGTACCCACAAAAAGCTCCCAAAAATGGTCAGTGTGGCCAGCATTTTGATAACATCTATATCTTCTTTTTGTAATTCTTGATCTTGAATTGACACAGTTATTTTGTATCTGTATAGCTTCTGTCGTACCCCAAGTTTCTGGACCATTTCAATCCTCATCTGCTTTGCATGAACCTGGTTATACATACAGACGAGATTTATCATCAGTGCCTGGAAACCCGATTGCCCCTGCATCTTTGTCTTCCAGGAGTTACAACTCTGTGCCGCCTGTCACTGTATCTCAAGTGACTAAAGGTTTTTTTAATTGTTTCACCACTTTTTTACCTCCTTTATACTTCCTCTCAAATCTTGAATGTATAACGTATGGTTCTGTATGTTTTTAGATGATGCAGTGTTAGCTGGACCAACTGTTGTGCATAATTCCTGTTACAGTAGCAGTAGTGAAAGCACTCCCAGAACATGGTCATTTGGTGAAACAGTTGACCGGGGAGACCATTGTAAGCAATCTAGAGGTTAGCATTTTATTTCTACCTTGAGCTTGATACTGGCACGATTGTACCAAGTTCCCATGTCTCTAAGCTACGATGGCAAAAAAAAATTTTCTTCTCATGCATGCAAATTCTTAAAAGTTTGGCTTCTATATGGAAGCTTCATGCCACCTTTAATATCTGCTATAATGTACCTCAACTAGGGATCTAACCCCTGCTGCTTATCGCTGAATTAAGTGCTTGTTATCAAGAGTTAAGCCTGATTGGTTTAACATATTCGCTTTATACCTGAAAAACTTCATATTGTTTACTTTTCTCATCTACTTAGGTTTATTTATTGTTACAAACATATTCACGTTTCTCCATTTGCAAGGAAATGATCATGTTACTTACATTAGAAAGCAACTTGTTTTTTGTTGTTGATGTTATTCTGTACTCCCGTGCTGCTCTTTTCAGTTTTTCCCATATCTGTTACAGGCAGACATGGTACTTGTGGTCTTTGAATTACATAATTTAACACAGCAAAATGCTTGAACAGGAACTATTAACACTTTGTCATTATTGTTAGTCTAGCACTGGATTATTAAGATCACAAGATAATTAGAAGTTGTCCGGAGTAGACTTTTGTTATCACATCCTGAAGTTTCAGTAGTGATAAGTCTGCTTTGTATTTGATGCAGTTCTGCCAGATTTTGCTCAGGTGTACAGCTTCATTGGCAGTGTCTTTGATCCCGGTTCAAGCGGGCATTTGCAGAAGTTGAAGCAGATGGACCCAATAAATTTGGAAACTGTATGTCACCCTAGATGATGTCGATCTCCCCCCCCCCGGCGCAAAACCAAAAAGGGGGGGATGCTTGCTTAAATGCATATGGTTAACTGATGGTGCTGCTTTCGCCTATTTTCAGGTTCTGTTGTTAATGAGAAACCTCTCTGTCAATTTGACAAGCCCTGAGTTTGAGGATCATGTAAATTCTCTTTCTTTATCTTCAGCGTTGGCTCTTACAATGTATTTTACATTGTGATTCAATTTATTCATGAAACAGTTTTTGATGGAAAAGTCTGCATATCTATCGGTGAAACTACATTTTGGGTTTGAGTCTGAACGGATTACTTACTTGATCTCCTATCTGTGTTTTAGTTGTCTTGTATAGCACCATGTGGTATTGCTTTGGAGTTATTTGTTACCCCACTCCTCGGCTTCCCTTTTCCTCTAACTTAAATTTTTGAGCCAAGAATTTAGCTATTATTGGCACCTCTAGTTATATATTATAAAACAAATTATCTATCTCACTTTGCAAAAGAAAATGCTAACTGGTTAGTGCTGAAAGATAAAATGCAACTTCTGTCATCTCAATGTATAGGTTTGATTCCTTACTGACTAATAATAAAATCAATGCAGAGAAGGTTGCTTTGGACATATGATGCTGAGTCAGAGGGTGTTAAACAATCGTACAATGACATTCACTCTCTGAAATCAGCAAGTGCAGTTCCGATGGCATAATAAGGTAAGGTAACTTTGGTGTTTCTGAAACGTTGCACGTCCTTTTCTTTTTATTGTTGGCTCATTCTCATTCCCACGATATGATTGAATGGCACAGGTTGCAGAGAAAGATATTGCATGTTTACTTGCTAACAGAGTTTAGATGTGTAAGTATGTATGTGTGTGTGAGATAGGTGTGATCTTCCCAGGACTTGGCAGCTTATAGCATGCATAGCTTGTAAATTCGTTATTGTGTTTCTTTCACCGTGTGCATATGATAAAAAAGAGCATCTGTTAGAGGCTACCATGTATAGAGAGTATTGAGTGCTTGTTTCCTGAGTTGTCGCTGTATAATATTTTTTTTGTTTCAGAATTCCTTGCTGGGGGTTTGATACTGAAATAATAAAGTTAGAAGTACGGGGTTTGAATTATCGTCTCTTTATCGTTTCTAGGTGGTCTGCAGTACCAAAAACTATGTATTCTTAGTCGGTGGTTCAGGTTAAGCAAATTGGATGGCATAGCTGAATCCGTATGGACTATATTTATTGGATTATGAAGCTGAGCTTTGGGCGGCTCACTCTAAACAAGGGCTACTATTAATTGAAGATTATTACTAGTTTTTTTGCTTCAGAATGGACTCTCCAAGAGCTAATCCTGAAGCAACTCCAGAAACGAAAACTGTATTTCTTTGAAGCACTGCTCGGTAATATTTTGCTTGAAATCATGAAAGTTGCGCAGGTTATGGGTGAAATATGTCAATATATAATTGGAGGTGCTTTTATTAAGATTTCAAAATTTGTTAAATTAAATTAAAATTAAGATTGAACGAAATAAGAATTAAATATGTAATTATATTATTATGTTAATTTTTACCAAGTATTAAGTGATTTAATTAGTATTATCTATATATTTAAATAACTTGACCGATAAAATTAAATTGTTGGTGTTATATTAAAATGTTTTATAATTAAGTAGTTGGTAGTAATTTGTTATTATTATATTTCACATCAATCACTGTCGGGAGAAAGGTCCTCAATTTTGCGAGAGAGAATTATGTTTTGCTCGCTAGCGAGTGGTAGTCTTTGGGAAGAGTATTGATTTCACAATTTGTTGAACCTAAGGCTTAATTTGGAAACGTCAAATAAATGAATGTGGATTCGTTGATGGTGTTAGAGACCGATCATGATCAGAATCATGACGGAGTTATGTAAACTGAAAAGGTTAAGAGTTATTTTTTTTAGAAAAATAGACTAAAAAAATATATAATTTAAATTTTAAAATTTTAATTTATTAGTATTGTTATTGTTGTTATTATTTTATGTATAACCATCTGTTTTCGATTTATTAATAGATTTATCCGGATCGGATATTACAGAGGCGAGAGTCAGTCTCTCTACTTACTTTATTCCATTCACAAATGTCGGGATTCGAACTCTTAATATTTTCTTAAGAGATCTGATGTTTCATCTAAGTAAATCAATTGATTGTTGGTATTATAATTATTTTGTTATCTAACATGTTATTATTAATCTTTTATGATAATAAATTAATTTATTATCATATTATAATTTTTCATAATTAGATGATTTAAAGAAACATCTTATAATCAAATGATTATTTACATATATTATTTTACTTATGAATAACTTCTACAAAATTTAGCATTTTAATGAAGTTAATAATTATTGTCTACTTTATTATAATTTGTTAATTTTATTAATTTAAATATTCTATTTTATATTTATATAACATGTTATCGTGATCATTATACAAAATAATCTCCAATTTTAAACGTGTAATTATAATATTATTCTATAAAATTTTATATATATATATGAAAATGATTTTACTTGCGTAATTTTTACAATCATAATTATTATATGACGTATTTATTTTTCATAACCTTATTCATAAACTATTAAATATGAAAAAAACTTATAAAATTTTATTTTTAAAAATACATGTAAAAGTTTGAAATTTTACGGTGTAATTGTAAGTTAAACGACTATTTAAAAAAACTCATGGACTTTTTTATATATATTTAGATAAATTTGAAATAAATTAACAAAAAAATTACTTAAATAGAGAAGTTTTGATTAATATTGAACTGCATTGAAATTAATACCATTTATAATCTAAAAAGACATGTAGATTTTTGGAGTGTGCAAAGAAAATTAGGCACAGCAAAAGAAATGCCAGGGGGCAACATAATACCGTATTCATTACATTGACAAAAACCAAATGATTTTATTGTCATGTACTTAGTTCAACGATCAATGTAATTATGTTTATGTTTCTAATCTCAAAGGGATTAATGAGTTTGGCAGGCATAATCCTCAACACATTGGGTCCGGGTTGAATTTTAGAGACTCCCTATAGATGAGCTCCTTGATATTTTCTTCAGTAAAAAATGGTTGCTCAAAATCAAAACTGAAAGGAGTAGGGCAAACTGGCTCCTCATTGATGTCATGAAGTGGTGCCAAATAGGGGTGACATAGTGCCTCATCCACTGCAAACAATTAATAAATGCTTGAACAAAAGTTGAGCACAAAACAGGAAGCTGTGGCTTGAACAAAAGTTTTACCCGTAATGCGCCTATGGGGATCAAAGATGAGCATCTTTTCTAGCAAATCAATGGCACCAGGTGACATGTTAGGGAATCTAGCAGAGAAATTTTGCCTTGGGTAATGTGGGAGCTGCCTAACGTATCTTCGGGCATTGTCGCTTCGAAGGAACCCAAGGCTGGAATCATCTGGAGAACCTATAAGCTATTCCAAGGAAAAACAAGTTATTTACAACTTACCCTACTTGAACTTCCATCAAGATACACAAGGAAAAACGATACCGACGGCATTTCGTACGACACAATTATTCAGGAAATACGAGCACCATTGAAAGAACAAGCATGTTATGATCACATAGGAATGCACAGTCAATATCAAATTTAAAGAATTAAAAACAGAAAGTAGAGGTAAAAGACGGATGATAGATGAAGTTAAAAGCAAGTCCCTAGCCAATGGATGATCTCGTCTTTAGAATTAAAGGTTATGCACTACTGAGAAAGCAAAATACATCATGGAGTCTCACAATCAAAGGGCCAAACTTATAACAAATGACATTGTAGGATGCAATTAAATGATCTCCGGAATATGAGGAACAATAACGCATTAAAGGAAAAATCTAAAGAGTTTCCAGGTAGTTTCCTGTGAGAAAAATCTAGACACCATACCTCTGTAATGAGCTTCAGCTGATGCACATAATCTTTGCCGGGGAAGAGGGGTTGTCTACTCATGATTTCACCAAGTATGCAACCCACAGACCAAATATCAATTGCAGCAGTGTATTCAGAACAATTAAGAAGCAATTCCGGTGCCCGGTACCAACGAGTAACTACATATTCTGTCATGAAATCGGTTTCAGATGTTGTCCTTGCAAGTCCAAAATCTCCAATTTTAAGGTCACAATTTGCGTTCAGAAATAAATTGCCAGGCTTTAAATCCCGATGCAAGACATTTGCTGAGTGTACATATTTGAGCCCTCGTAGAACCTGATATAGAAAGTACTGCAAGAATAGCACTGCATAATCAACAATATTTCCAGCTTCTATGTTACTCAATGTGAATCATACCATGCTCCTAACTAAATATGACGAAAAATGGCAGGAATATCCCAACATATTTTATACAAGTGCAAGTAATTGATACCAACCCGACAATGATCATCTGCCAATGATTGATTGGATCGTATGATTTGATGAAGATCAGTGTCCATCAATTCATAAACGATGTAAACATCATTAAAGTTCTCCCTCTGTGGAGGCCGTATGATGTCCTTGATGGCAATAACCTGAAGACAAATAAACCTAGTTAAACTAAAATTCCACAATCAGCATCGACTACTTTAGCAGAACCTCAAGTCATTATTGAAATGCAGATTTATGAAGCAGAGGAACGGTAAGAAACTAACTAAAAAATTATAAAGACTGATAACAACAGCTCTTTCCAGATTACGGAAAAGTGTGGTTAGATTAGATCATGAGTTCTTTAACAATTAAATGAATAGGAAAGGTTTAAGCACAATATATCATAAGACTGGCCCTCGCTTAATGGTTAAAAGTTACTAGGTTGTACAGATAATCTTCCTCAGGAACTCATATAGACAGACAGGTTAACCCAAATTTCTATAATTAAACGAATTAGGGTAAAATGTGGATATTGTTAATGTCCCCATTTTAAGTATGGTCAAAGGCTTACATGACGGGGGAAAAAAAAGAATGAACTGTTTCAATTCCACTGATTGTTTACATGGAAACAGCAGGAACCTGACCATTGCAGCCAGCAAGGAGCCTAACAATTAGGGGGTCTATTGTTTAAACTGAACTTACATTCTCATGATCCAGGTGACGAAGAAGCTTGATCTCTCGCAATGTCCTTTTGGCATCAATCCGGTTGTCAAATGCATTACCGATTTTCTTTATAGCAACCTCCTCTCGTGTCTCTGAATTCATAGCAGCACTAAAAAAAAAAAAATTGGGGGGGGGGGGGGAACACGTATCAGTTTCACATTATTAATAAAAATAGACCAGCAAGCCTAATAAACAGAGTGATTACTTTGTTGCAATCTCAGCAACAAGGGAGTTCGGCCTAGAGCCATTCACTTCAATGGGGTTATATATTTTGCAGCTTAATTTCATTAAAAAAAAGCAATCACACAGCAAAATACAGGTAAAAGATGCTAATGAGAGCCACACTCCCAATGCTATATGGTCAATCATTAATTCACCATGGAAAGTAAGATTATACTGCACTTAAATTAGAAGGAAAAATACCAATCTAAACACACAGGCCTTAATATTTCAAGTTCCCATCGAAACGAGAAAAGAACTTAACAAAATCAATAGATATAATACACACTCTCAATTCTCAAACCCTCAAATAGAAGATCAAGATTAAGACAGACGAAGATGGTGAAATAAACAACAAGGGAATCAACATAAGAAGTTTGAAGGAAACAAAGTTAAAAGAAGAAGAAAATCATTACCAGACAATACCGTAAGCACCACGGCCGATGGGACGAATAGGAGGAACGTATTTAGAGGGAAGTTGGAAGAGGTTACCATAAACGTTGTACTGAACATAGAGTCCACCATGAATTGATATACCTTTGATGCTGCGATCCCCAGACCCTGAGCTCGGCTCCATCAACGTGCGTTCCGAATTCGAATGTTGGAAACAACCCGGACCCGGCTACCAACCCGAAATATAGAAAGATCTGTTGCAGGAGTGTTACTGTTAATAAGAGGAGAGAAGAAATAAAGGGTATAATTTGGGAGAGCGCGTAAGTAGGCTTAAAAGTAATTTTACTTTTTTGTTTTTTCAAAGCTGAGTGTGAACCTTTTGAACAAGAAAAGCTGTGAGTCTTCCTTGAAGATTCCACCTTTGATTCCACTCTATTTATTTATTTATTTATTTAATTAAAATTTCCCTCTATTTTCCTTCCAGTTTTTCTAAGAGTTGTTGCACGCGCGTTTCTAAGAAATTGCCTGTCCTATTGTAAATCTTCTTAAACAATTTAGACCATTGATATCATAGAAGGAACCCGTTACAGGTTGGGTCAGTAGCTGGCACAAAATCATGGAACCCATTATAGATAAATGATTTAAATATTTGTTATTTGAATCCATATTATTAATATAAATATAATTTTACAAATAAATGTGAAAATATGTTTCGATTATTTGACATGATTTAAAATTTTAAACCCAAATCACTTTGGGTAAACTATACAAATGGTCTCATAACTATAAGATATTGTTTTGTGAGTCACCCACTATTAAAGATTATAAAATGATCCCCTGACTATAGAGAGTTATTTTGTCGAGCCCGTCGACTATTAAAAGTTACAAAATGATCACTCGATTATTCATTATATTTCAAACTCGTCATATTTTGTAAAAAAAATTAACGGTCGTCTGAGTTGGACGTTAACATGGTAACCGAGATATGATAGTCGTTTGAGATTATAAAATCATATTTTATCATATCTCAATCAGTATGTTAACGTCCAACTAATATTGCCGTTAATTTTTTAACAAAAAAGAACAAGCTTGGAACATAATGAATAATCATGTGATAATTTTGTAACTTTTAATAGTTGAGGGGCTCAACAAAGCAATTGTATATAGTCAAGGATCATTTTGTAACTTTTAATAATTGGGAGACTCAACAAAGTAGTATCCTATAGTCAAGGACCATTTTTGGTTAAGAGACTTATTATTATCCCTTGAGGTCTTGATTTCGAGCACTGCATATGTTAGAGGTATGATTGTTCATTGTTAATAAAATTAGTCCCATATTTACCCTTTAATATAAAAAAAAGGTATAATAAGAGTTTATTACATCACATGTCCAAAATATGACCCTTATTTTAAATTAGTCTTCAAACTTTTAAACATTTCAATTTCATCCCCAACTATAACCTTCATTCTAAATTGGTCTCCAAACGTTTTTATTATTCTAGTTTTATCTCAAACTATACATTAAAAACTAATTACATCCCTTGTTAATAAAATCGTTAGGACAAGTTATACGCTTATATGTTTGAAGAAAACAAAATTTAGGTTAAACTATAGTTGAAATTGATTACATATTTGGAAGAAATTGGCAGATTCAAAAGTTTATGGACCAATTTAGAACAAGGGTCATGGTTTATGGATGGAAATGGAATGTTCAAAAGTTTAAGTACTAATTTAAAATAAGAGTTGTAATTTGAGGATAAAATTAGAATATTTAAAAGTTTAAGGACTAATTTAAAATGAGAGTTATAGTTTGGGGATATATAATGTAATTTACTCATATAATCATATTTAATTCGAATTCGAACAATATGACTTAATTTACAATAAAAATAATATCAGATTTTTAAATAAATATGCTTATCCAAATTTAAATAATTCAAAAATATAGATATCCGATACGTTGTGATTCGTAATGGTAAGTAATGCACTAAGCTTGTTGACGTTGGCAAGAAGACAACCAATCCTACGACATAAATGTCAAAAAAAGGTCCCGACTAATGGTGAAAGATGGTGCTTTCTCAAAATTCACTCAACATGAAGCACAATAATTTGATAGTTTAGAAAGGGTACGACTAATGACTCATCTCCATCATTGTCTATCTTCCTACTTCTAAGTTTGATGGGATCGATTGCTTGTCTTACTCAACTTTATGCATGGAGATGCATAGTTTCGGATATCGGATCAGAAACCCGATGTTTATTCTGGGGTTCGACTCAGCAAATCATCTCGATAGCAGCAGGTAGAATAGATAACTTCCTAGGAAGGAATCCTAAATGTTCCCCATCAGACTGAATGAAAATGCTGCCGCTGCCGCTAATGTCATCTACTTCGATTGTATAAACACTGCAACAAAAGAAAACACTATCAGTTATCAATACCATCTCTTTTACAGTTTTAGGCTAAAAAAACCCATTGACATCAAGCTCCATTAAAACTCAACAGATGACATAACAGTACTGCCTTGAACATAATGGATGGCTGCCCTGCAAAAGTTTGAGGACAAGGTTTTTGGACCATCAATTCCTTCAGTTTCTTCGCTCCTATCATTATTATAGGGAGCACCAAACCTTTATATAGTATTCATGATTTTCAAGGCTCAAATAAGATATAGCATTCAAGATTTTCAAGGCTCTAAAATATTTGAGTGGAAAACCATCCGAGGAAAATGGTGCATTGAAGAGTTTACAAGCAAAACAAATCCACCTTTAAAAAAGAATGTTAGCAACCATCTCATACTTTAAGGTTATGAACAACTCATTCAAAAAAGAAGACACCAATATCAGGAAAGAAAACGGCGAAAGGGAGAGGGAATGCAGAAAGGATACCAAAATAATGCTGCAAGAACCGAAAAGAGATGCTGCTTACTTTCTCGAGGTCACATTTTTCACGGACAAATGTGTCCCATTGTATAGCTTGTGCAGTTTTAGAAGGAAGTCATACCACTTGAAGTCCTGAAGAATGACAACCTGCAAAGTGTAGGGCAAATTTTATACAAACTATCATTGCACCTCAGAATTAACAAATACTAGTAATCACATAGATGAACAGAAAAACTATTTCACCTCAAAACTTCCACTTCGAGGATCAGCATTTGGTGTAATTTTCATGCCACCACCAAAGTACTTTGCATTTCCAACACAGAGGGCTGTCACTTGAGAGCATGTTTGCCACTCACCCTCATTTTCCTGTATGTGAAATTACTTTTATGGTAAAAAATCTAAACACTGTCATGTGAAATTAAGCATGATAAGGTCTACAGCATACCTAATGTATCAGCCCATAGAAGACCTAGAAATGGAATACATTTTCCTCAGGAAAAAAAGAAAGAAATGGAATACATGTCAGATCCGTACAAGTGTATACCTTGATTCTAAGATCCTGGTTGCGGTGGCCCATAAAGGCTTGCAAAGCACCAATAACATAGCACAAGTTTCCAAATTTCTTGTATCTTGAAGCATAATAACCTGCCTTTGCACTCCTGTAAAATTCCACAAAGGACTGCAGTGAGGCTAGTGAAATGAGCTTATGTTTTCAAGGCTTAATTCTAAAAAATGACTGAGTGAACCTTACAGATGGATATCAGCAACATTTATGAAATAATGGGATCCTTCCCCTTCTCTGCTAATGACACCAACGTCAATTTGTGATCTCACCCCTACGATACAGCAGCATCAGGAAATCCTAGGAAAATAAAACCAACTACTGCTTGTATTTACTAGAAATTAACAAGGGAGACATAGATCCAGAAAGGGCATTAAAATACCTTTAGCAATCCGTTCTATGGCTTCACAGGGATCATTTTTCCTGAGAAAAACAGAACAACAAACAGTTGACACAAAGGAATAATATCATAAAATCTTATAACAAATGAATCTACACTGGATAAGCACAAACTAACCAGCCCAATGTTCGGGCAAAATCTGACCCTGTGCCCAAGGGAATGAGCTGCAAGAAAGGGCAAAATTGTTATATGTTCCTCGGAAAAAAATATCAAAAAGATTACTGGTAAGCAAGCAAAGACAAATGAGCAAGAACATATAAATTCACGATTGTCAATCATCAGAGCCTGGCAATGATCCTTACAAAAAGAAAGGGAAAAGAAGAAAAAAGTTAATGGGAATTCTTACTCCAAGAGCTGTTGAATGAACAGCCTTTGTTTTCTGATTAGCAACCGGTTTCCCATCCCAAAAGAATCCATTAACAACCTGCTTATCCCATCCAAAAAAGATTAACCAGTCTATCATCTGCTCTTCTAAACGAAGCATGCAAATAATAGGGAGATATATAGAAGATGCTACAGGATTATTGCGATCTTGGAACCATATTTGATTATATACACTAAAGTGAAATAGAAAAAGAAAAATATGCACCTCATGAAGCGTACCATCACCTCCAACTGCAATGACAGCATCAGCACCCTCCCTTATAGCCTGCAAACATTACCAGTTTTTATAACTTACAAATATATATAGAGTGACTGTTAACTCCCACTCAATCTCATAGTCCCGATTGGGGAAAATAATTGTAAATGAGGCCCTTATTCCTACCTCCCTAGTAATGTCAATCGCATGAGAAGGACCAGAAGTCAAAGATTCACATATCTGCCACACATAAAAAAGATTTTCAGCAAATTTCACCCAAAAAACACAGCTTGAACTCTCATTTGAGTGTTAAAAGACTGTCAAAAAAGGGGGGAAGGATTTAACACCAAGCGAATTAAGCGATGATTAATCGAAAAAAATGAAAAATCAAACTCACGTTACAATCGCTACCGAGGCGAGATTGAAGATAAGGAAGCAGTTTCTTCCACTCTTTACCGGTTCTCCCATTAGCACCTGCTCCAAATCCCTCATTCAAACAAGCATAATAAATTCGGGAAGCAAGACATTTTCTCAGAAAACAAACAAAAAAGTGGGAAAAAGAAGAAAAACCTCGAGGATTGACGACGAAGACTAGATCACGGCGGCGAATGGGAGGAGAGGAGGAGACGCCGCGGAAGACGGAGTTGTCAGAGGAGAGATCAGAAGCCATGGGGTTCTCGGCTCTCAATACGGAAGGCTTAGCAATCGGGAAGTGTACCCCAACAAGGGGCGCCAGTAAGTGATTATAATAGCAAATCATATTGGTTGCAGTTGCAAAAGACTATTTTTAATTGGCCTCTCACGGTTTAAGCATATAAAAGGAATCTTTTTAACACGGGTGTTTCCCCGTTTGGTTCAGGGTTTTGAAAAATTCAAATTAATGCACAACTGCAACTTCTTAAATTGAAAACCTTCAAGTGAATCCAAATCGAAATGAGCAAAGATGACGCGGTAGTTGGATGAAACAGAGCCCACGCTCCTCGGTTTCGTTCATCACTGCAATCGTGCATCGTTCATCACTACTCGAGCTGAGAGAGAGAACAGAGACCACTGAATTCAAATATTTTTTAAGTCTTGGGTTTTATGAAATTCCTCCTCATGATAATTGGTAATTTTATTTCATAGTTATTTACCTAAGTAGCAGTTTTAAAAATTATTTAGGAAATAGGAGTAATATGGTTTTAAAATGTTAAAAATTATTTGAATCTTCTATTTTTTTTATAAAAATATGTCCGATACATGTCGAAGATACATATTTGTATGTATACGAATCAAATGAGGATAGCAACGCACATGTATAGAAAATTATAATCAATCATTCGATGAATATATGTTTAAAATGTTATATTTAAATATTTTAAAAATACATATTTAAACAATGTGTGATTTGAGAATCTCGTGATCGAATTTGTTGATCTTGGTCTGTCAATAACATCTCTTGAATTCATGTCAGTACAATAAGTGATAATAATTATTGATTTCTCATAATTCAATATTTAAATTCATCTTTTACTCTGAATGTCATTATTTAAGTGTCCATGCTTTCTACAAAATAATCATTTAAAACTTTTTTTTTATGTCTACTTGATATTACATTAAAGAATTTTAATGGTGATAAAAATCGAATTTGAATTTTTAATTCTGAAAAATAGAGTGACTTAGCTCTTAAAAGTAAGAGGAATAATGTTTAATTATAGAAAGAGTGCATGGAGTTGGAATATATTATAACCCATGTAATTGTATTATACAAACTTTGATTTATTAATGTTTACGTTATACTCTTGTTCATCAAATTTGTGATAGTCTGGTAAAGGATATTGTTTTAGTCTGTATCTTGATTGATATAAAATCTCGAGATTTAGAATAATCAATCTCCCTTCTTAATATAAAAAAATAATATATATTATAAGATTTGTATTTTATATCAATTTTGTGTTCATAATCAGATTATATCCTAAAATATTAAATTTTAACACTTCATTTCTCCAAAGAAATGCATTAATTCCATGTATATAGTGATTGATAATGAACATATATTCGAGATATCTCACGAGATAGTAAGGGAGGTTGGTGTTGGGCTATTTTCGGAACATTGGGAGATGTTCAGTTCTCCATGTTGAACTCTGAGCGTTGATCGACCATCTCCAGATTGTTTGGGATTATGGTGCGAGACAAGCGACCGTGGAGGAGCTGGATAATAGTGAGGTGTGAAGCTCCTTAATATGCCTACTCCGCTGCATGAGTTGGCGCTTATTCGAATGATCTGCAGGATTCTTCAGCTTCAATGGAAGGTTAAGACTGTTCGTATCCATCGTGACGTTAACAGGATAGCTAATGCCTTGGCTCAACTGGGTGTGAGAAGATGATATTCGCACTGCCTGCGTAGTGCTTCTTTTTTAACCAAAAAAAAAGCCATCCATAGTTTTACATGTCATTTTATCAATTAAACTGATAAGCATATGATCATTAATAATTGTACTCTCCAATGAAAAATAGACATCAACAACAATATATATAAAATAAAGTCTCGGCACTGCTAAATGCGCTAGCAATATATGTCCCACGAAGGTTTGAGTATCCTTTTATTTGTTTAATTATTTTTAGCCTAGTACATTAGATGGTGTGGATGATAAAAAAATATTATTTATTTTAGAAACTTCGAACAGTTATGTTTGCAAGATAAATATATATTGTTAATTGATTACGAAAATTCTAATAATCACTCAAAATTATTTTTAATCGAAGCGGTTGGAGGAAGTTGGGCCATGGATGTCCGGCCCAGTACACACCAAGGCCTAGTCTTGGGAATTGATGGCCGCACCCTTTCACCGATTGTGAAAGGACGATTTCCTAATCCACCCATCACACCTTGTTGGTTGGTCAGGCTTCCTCTCACCGACGCTTTTCTTTATTTGTCATCCCTTCTTTGATAACTTAAATAGTTAAATCAAAATAAAATTAAAAATTCAGAATCATATGGAACTAATTAAAAGTTTGAATTATTTTTATAGCGCAAGTAAAGTTGTTGGTAGTTAAAATATACTTTGATAAACTTGTAAGTAGTTATCTATGATTTTCACAAAATTATCGACAACTATTGATATTTTTTAAAAATAAATTTTTAAAAAATAAAAAATAAAGATTAAATGAATTTTTATAAAAATATTCTAATAAAATGAAATGATGAAATTAAGGAATACACTCAAAAATCACGTAATGCTTATTTATGAAAAAAATATTTTAGTATTCTATTTTTATTTCTTTACAATTTATTATTAAAATATAAAAAATATTAGAACAAAGTCGGTGACAACTAACATGACTTTGTCAAGATTATTCTAGACTGTCGATGAATTTATACAAATCATCGCCATATGTCAATAATTTTATCATAATATCATCTCTAATTTCTTAATTTTTTTCAATATCTATTTTTTCCTAATTTCACCTAAATTAGATATATTCATAGTGTTTTGAGAAATTATAAAAATGTGATAAATCTAAAACACTATAGTAGAACATTCTAGGATACATTGAGATAATATTTTTATTTATGTACATGACTTTAATCTATTTCTACATACTTTTAGTTATTATTATTATTAATTTTTTTTTGGAAATAAACGTACGTTCGATAGATTAGCAGCTAATAGCATCAGAAAGAAACAAGGAGGATATACACTCCGGAGAGTCATAACTATAAAACAAAGACATAGTAATATCTAAACCAAACCGAGTTAGAGTATGCGCAAAAGAACTGGCAGATCTACGAATCCCATGCACCCGAAATCCAACATTCGAACTGAGTAGACTTTTAGCTTCAGCAAGATGAAAGCTGACTGTGAAGAAATCCAGGTGTGGTGAAATCAGTTGACGGACAATGTTCATCGCATCGCTTTCCACATAAACCTTTGCAGAAGAAAATTCGCTGACAAGGCGAAGTCCATACGTAATAGCAAGAGCTTCAGTTGCATCGACATTTATCTTTATTGTGGCAAACATCCGTTGACACCCCAGCAGTAGAAAACATGGATCCCATGAAACCAGAAGCAGCATCATAAGCTAGCAAAGTAGTTTTACTGGAACTCACCACAATCCACCCAGGTGTCAAGCGACCCTCCATACCAAAGGAATTTCGCCGCTGCCATATATATACAATATATGTTTAATATCGTTTATGCAATTAATTTTTTATCATTAATAATAATATTAAATAATAAATCATAATATAAATAAAAGCATAAATGCTTGCAATCTAAAGTTTCCATGGGCCTCGTTGATTCCTGTCGTCTTCCCCTCTTATCAGCTCTGCAATGTCCCACATTTTATTATTGTTTCCTCCTTTCCCTGTTTGTGTTTAAAAAAGAAAAAGAAAATGTGATGAATTGGGCATAGCTTTTCCTTCTTTTTGTACACAATCGAGAAACACAGGACCTGAAATTAAGGTATGCAAGTTAATTAGATATAAATAATTAGAAAAAAAAAGGAAAAATAAATATAAACAAACGTTCTGTAGGACCTTGTTAATCATTATAGTCTTGAACTTTTCATTATTTTAGCATTGTATATATAAGGATTTAAGCGGTTATTGTGAAATAATTAAAATGTTTTAGATAAATATTATAAGTCTAACCGTTAAATATATTACAGAATATCATAGATCGCTCACAGTTTAACATCTAACGCGAAACAAGATCACAAACATGCTGACATTCCTCTCGATCACCTCTCGAAGACGCATACTCATTGTTTTAATACTTTTTGTCGCTATATAATTTTCTTCAAGCAGGCTGAAATTCCTCTTCTTCCAAGAGTTTCAACAGACAAAGACGAATAACGAATTAAAAATAAACAGATCCTGATTACAGATATTAGCGTCCAATCCGTCCTCCCATGCACTGGACATAACTTAACAAATCTTTTAATGACATCAATTAACAAAAACTATTATTATTTTATTAATAATGTTCTTTAATTTTATTGAATAAAAATAAAATATTTAGAATATAAGAAGAATTAAAAAGACAGGAGTAGATTAATTATATTAGTCGGACATATCTCTTAAAATTATCAAAGTGCTCAAATTAACCAATTAAAAATAAGATTTAAGAGTTAGTCTGGAAGCTAGTGTAATGCCATACATAATGTGAGAATGCTGCCATGGAGGCTGAAAATGATGAAAGCTCAAATGAAGGAGGAGGAAACTTAAAGATAAAGAGATGACAGAATGAAAATTTTATTGATCATTGAAGAAAGTACTCTACCTACAATCTAATATAAGTGTGGCTTATATAGCCCAAGTAACCAACAACTATAACAAACTAATAACAACTAATAACAAGCTAATAACAAACCATAACAAACTCTAACATTCACTCTACTTTTCCACCTTTTAATTTTCTTCAAAATAAACTTGCTATTAGAAAGTTGATCAAACAAAGAGTGCAAACTTAATAAGCTGGAATTCAACCGTCTTGCCGTCTCGATGAACAATTTACCGAACATCTTCTTTCTTCAACTTTCCTCGGCTTTTCTTCTTCTTTTCAAGAGTTTTTTTTTTTTCATCTTCACTGTTCTTCCTCTTCACTTATTGGGACTTTCTTTTTGTTGGAAGCAAGGCGGTTAAGCTACGAGCTCCCGAATGCAATCTGAAGCCTCTCTTGGGCAAGAAAACATCCTATTTTGTCTGGTTAAGGAAGGCAAGGCTGTTAAACTCTTAACCCTCCCCAGAGATTTTCTTCTATGGTAACTTAGCTGTTAACCTCAAAGTTCCATGTCAAACTTTGGAGAAGAAGTAACAAGTGATGAACGATTACTCTATGAACACCTTAAAGCTGCTGTACGATTGGAGAACCGAACGGAAAAATGCATAACCAGCAAAACAGTAGATGCACCAACTGAACCACTCAATGGTCACCTTAGAATCAAACCATCAACAATTTGTAGCAGCAAAAATCACAATACGAACCAATAACATGAGTAGTAGTGAACCAAAGCAACCAAATATTAACTAAAACAGCATCTAAGCAAAACGAAAATGGCAACAAACTCCATTGAAAACCATTCTGTTGCCATAGCAGTGAGCGAGACTCTGACCTTGTTCAGTAAACAGAAAAACAGTTTCGATCAATAAGGATTAAAACCGAACCGCAAAACATACCAGCAAAGGTAGACGACCGATGAAACAACAACCATGAGATATTAGATCTGAAATATAACCGAGTAACCCATAACCATCAATTATCAATTTCACTTGGTGTTTCCAGATAACATACGTGCTCTCTGATAACTTGACAGTATCAGCTTTAGGAAGAGGATGAATCAGATAAGAGGTAGAAGCAATAATAGTTGAGTTTACATCAGGCCTGTGAGTAAATTGAACTCCATGTGTCATCTTAAAACAAGAGCACTCTAACAGCAATCTAACAAACAGTATGGAGGCAAAATTATGAACCAAACCAAAACAAGACGAACCAAAGAAGCTTAAGCCAACAACCAAATGCAACCGATCAGATCCAGAAGAAAAGGAGCAAAACACGCAAGAAAACACAACTGATCGATTTTTTTCACTATTTGCTCAAAGGCTAACTGATTGCGAGAGATAAAATGCTTGCAATCAAAAATTAGAAACAGTCGGAACTTGATTTATGAGTCACCTGGTTGAATCGCACATATAGAGTTCTTCGTCAACACACACAACATGGAACAAGGATGAACATCGAGCACAGCAGTAATGAGAGTTCACACCACAAGCAGGACCTTTCAGCGAATGATACCATGTGAGAATGCTGCCATGGAGGCTGAAAATGATGAAAGCTCAAATGAAGGAGGAGGAAACTTAAAGATAAAGAGATGACAGAATGAAAATTTTATTGATCATTGAAGAAAGTACTCTACCTACAATCTAATATAAGTGTGGCTTATATAGCCCAAGTAACCAACAACTATAACAAACTAATAACAACTAATAACAAGCTAATAACAAACCATAACAAACTCTAACACATAAGCATGCAGCTCATGCATGTCCAGGTTCTAGAAGTTAGTCTAGAAGCTAGGTTGTTATGAGTTTGTTAACCAGTTAAGAGGTTTTCTGTATTGCTAAGGCTGTGTATAAAAACATAATTGTATGTTGTGTTGAGCAGAATTCTTGTTAACGAAGCAATGAATTAAAGAACTCTTTCATTGCATCTTGAAACAAGTCATGCAATATTCCAATATGGTATCATTCGCCAAACGGTCCTGATTTTATTTTTTCTTTCGCTGCATGGAGTTCGTTGGCTCTATCGTGACTGCTTCACATCTCTCACTTGATCCCCAAAGCCCCTGCACTTGTGTTGCTGGCACTGAGAGTCCTAGATCATGTTAAAGATGAAGGTGATTGAAAAGATCCAATCTTCGCCACAGGACCAAGGGAAAGTGGTGTTTTCCTTTGAGTTCTTCCCTCCAAAGATTGAGGATGGAGTGGAGAACCTGTTTGAAAGGATGGATCGAATGGTGGCTCATAATCTGTCTTTTTGTGACATCACGTGGGGTACTGGTGGTTCGACGGTGGATCTCACTTTGTACATTGCTAACAAGGTGCAAAACATCATATGTGTTGAAACAATGATGCATCTCACTTGCACCAACATGTCTGTCGAGAAGCTTGACCATGCTCTTGAGATCATCAAGTCCAATGGCATTCAGAACGTTATCGCCCTTCGAGGCGATCCTCCTCATGGCCAGGACAAGTTTGTCCATGTCGAAGGCAGCTTCGCCTGTGCCCTTGATCTGGTTAAACATATTAGAGCTAAATATGGTGACTACTCTGGCATAGCGGTTGCCGGTTATCCAGAGGCTCATCTCGATGCTATAGGTGATAACGGTGTTGCGACACCAGAAGCTTATCAGAATGATCTTGCGTACTTGAAGAGAAAGGTTGATGCAGGAACTGATCTGATTGTTACTCAACTATTTTATGATGAGATTACTGCTGCCTTAGAGCCTATCAAGGACAATGATGAAGCTGTCAAAGCCTATGGGATTCACCTTGGAACAGAAATGTGTCGCAAGATTTTAGCTAATGGGATTAAGACGTTACACCTTTACACGTTAAACATGGAGCAGGATCACATCTTGAAAGCTAATGGTATGGTCAATTGTTAAGAGTTTTTTGAGTAGTTTGTTTACATTTAGAGTTTGCCGGGAGTTCAATTTCTTGCTGTCATTGGAAACAAATTTTGTTCGTACTAGTTTTTTGTGGATGTGTTGCACGCTGTTGCATTGCTGGCTTTTTGGATTGTGCATCATCATGATTTGTTGCTTCTATCTCAAAGTGTCATGGGACTTGAAAGCTTCACATCCAAGTGTCCATGAGAAAAAAAAATATGTCAAGGAACCTTGTATAAAAGGTTAAGAAGAAAGAAATGAAGGTGAATAAAAAGAAATGAATGTGAATAAGAAGAACGAAAGGAAGCATCGGCACTTTCGATTCAAGTGAACGGAAGGAAGCATCGGTACTTTCGATTCAAGTCGAACGAAAGGAAGCATCGACACTTTCGATTCAAGTCGAACGGAAGGAGGCGTCGCACTTTCGATTCAAGTGTTCATCTTTTCATTAAGAATGTTGAGAAAGTAGGGAGAATGTTGAGAGAATGATGCAGCTCACATAAATAAAGAGTGTGTTTGTGTAATGCTATACATAAGCATGCAGCTCATGCATGTCCAGGTTCTAGAAGTTAATCTGGAAGCTAGGTTGTTATGAGTTTGTTAACCAGTTAGGAGGTTTTCTGTATTGTTAAGGATGTGTATAAAAACATAATTGTATGATGTGTTTAGCAGAATTATTGTTAACGAAGCAATGAATTAAAGAACTCTTTCCTTGCATCTTGAAACAAGTCATGCAATATTCCAATATGATATCATTCGCCAAACAGTCCTGACTTTGTTTTTTCTTTCGCTGCATGGAGTTCGTTGGCTCTATCGTGACTGCTTCACATCTCTCACTTGATCCCCAAAGCCCCTACACTTGTATTACTGGCACTGAGAGTCCTAGATCCTGTTAAAGATAAAGGTGATTGAAAATATCCAATCTTCGCCACAGGACCAAGGGAAAGTGGTGTTTTCCTTTGAGTTCTTCCCTCCAAAGACTGAGGATGGAGTGGAGAACCTGTTTGAAAGGATGGATCAAATAGTGGCTCATAATCTGTCTTTTTGTGACATCACGTGGGGTACTGGTGGTTCGACGGTGGATCTCACTTTGTACATTGCTAACAAGGTGCAAAACATCATATCTGTTGAAACAATTATGCATCTCACTTGCACCAACATGTCTGTCGAGAAGCTTGACCATGCTCTTGAGATCATCAAGTCCAATGTCATTCAGAACGTTATCGCCATTCGAGGCGATCCTCCTCATGGCCAGGACAAGTTTGTCCATGTTGAAGGCGGCTTCGCCTGTGCCCTTGATCTGGTTAAACATATTAGAGCTAAATATGGTGACTACTCTGGCATAACGGTTGCCGGTTATCCAGAGGCTCATCTCGATGCTATAGGTGATAACGGTGTTGCGACACCAGAAGCTTATCAGAATGATCTTGCGTACTTGAAGAGAAAGGTTGATGCTGGAGCTGATCTGATTTTTACTCAACTGTTTTATGATGAGATTACTGCTGCCTTAGAGCCTATCAAGGACAATGATGAAGCTGTCAAAGCCTATGGGATTCACCTTGGAACAGAAATGTGTCGCAAGATTTTAGCTAATGGGATTAAGACATTACACCTTTACACGTTAAACATGGAGCAGAATCACATCTTGAAAGCTAATGGTATGGTCAATTGTTAAGAGTTTTTTGAGTAGTTTGTTTACATTTAGAGTTTGCCAGGAGTTCAATTTCTTGCTGTCATTGGAAACAAATTTTGTTCGTACTAGTTTTTTGTGAATGTGTTGCACGCTGTTGCATTGCTGGCTTTTTGGATTGTTCATCATCATGATTTGTTGCTTCTATCTCAAAGTGTCATGGGACTTGAAAGCTTCACAGCCAAGTGTCCATGAGAAAAAAAATATATATGTCAAGGGACCTTGTATAAAAGGTGAAGAAGAAAGAAATGAAGGTGAATAAGAAGAACGAAATGAAGCATCGACACATTCGATTCAAGTGAACGGAAGGAAGCATCGGTACTTTCGATTCAAGTCGAACGAAAGGAAGCATCGGTACTTTCGATTCAATTCGAACGAAAGGAAACATTGGCACTTTCGATTCAAGTCGAACGGAAGGAGGCGTCGCACTTTCGATTCAAGTCCACCCAGGTGTCAAACGACCCTCCATGACAAAGGAATTTCGCCGCTGCCATATATTATACAATATATGTTTAATATCGTTTATGCAATTATTTTTTTTATCATTAATAATCATATTAAATAATAAATCATAATATAAATAAAAGCATAAACGCTTGCAATCTAAAGTTTCCATGGGCCTCGTTGATTCCTGTCGTCTTCCCCTCTTATCAGCTCTGCAATGTCCCACATTTTATTATTGTTTTCCCCCTTTCCCTGTTTGTGTTTAAAAAAAGAAAAAGAAAAAGTGATGAATTGGGCATAGCTTTTCCTTCTTTTTGTCCACAATCGAGAAACATAGGACCTAAAATTAAGCAATGCAAGTTATTTAGATATAAATAGTTAGAAAAAAAGGAAAAATAAATATTAACAAATGTTCTGTAGGACCTTGTATCTATATAATTTTCTTCAAGCAGGTTGAAATTCCTCTTCTTCCAAAAGTTTCAGCAGACAAAGACGCATACTCATTGTTTTAATATGTAATTTGTAAATCGCGGCTTTAAAATCATTGTTTTCCGAGAAATTAATTATTGCTTTCACTGCTTTGGAATTAATTAATGAATGTTAGTAGAGACAGTGGAAGCTGATCTCAGTATTGAAGACTCCACCGACAATAATGTTTAATTAAAGCCTTTTGGCGGTCCATTTAATAATTATTACTTTTTTATTCATTAAAATTAAAGCTGTCTTCACTGTTTTTTTTTCCTTTTACAATCCAATCCTTTTCAAAAATAATCATTGAACTGTAATGGCTGCATCATTAAATAATCTCAACACATTTGCAGAAGTAATTGTTAAGCTACACACTAATATGATATTGTTCATAATTTTATAAAAATAAACATAATTTTGATAAAAACGCTCGAGTATTAATATGAAAAAGAAAATCTTTGGATATTGCATTTTTCAAGATTATTCTTTCAAATGAACAATGTCTCAAAAAAGACGTATAAGTACTTAGCATTTTTTTGTATGGTTCGAAAAGACGTACGAAACACTGGACACCTTTTTCTTTCTCCTCCTCCATTATTGCTTGACATTGACACTTCATACAACTTCATCATCACCAAATCAAATTGTTGCTTGACACCAACAATAACATCACCGTTTTCGTCGCTACATTAGGTTGGGTTATTTTGTGTTCGACCCAAATAATGATATCACTGTTTTCAAGTCCACTAACAATGCAAAACGAAAATCATACATAAAAATTAAAAAAAAATCCATATCATTTATATATATTCCACAAATATATCGAGTAATCATACACAATGTCCTTTTCAAATACTATGAACATCATTCTGATTGAAAAAACAAAATTCCAAGAGTAACACAAGAAAAAATCTTTTCACATGGACATTTTGGCTCACGATTCTTCTTTAAAAGCATAATTATATATTCATATAAATTGAATTAGGCGATGATGGCTAATTAGGCGGACCCACAATTCCACTTCCTCACCCATGTTTCGAGAGATTCTCCATTTTAATATAATATTTTCGAAGACTTACCCTGAAACGCAGCGTTCCTTAATGCCTAATTTCACGCTCAGCCTAACCTACCTCACCCACCAATCACGATTTGTCGATATATATCGCAGACAGTGTCTGTATCACTTGCATCTTAGTACGTAGGATGTAGTATATATAATTTAGTGGATTTCCATAGCCAGCCGAAGGCATAAGCTTCCGTTCTTCCCTAGCTTGTTTTCCACTTTTCCTATCTATAAATACGTAAACAAAACCTTTCTCTGTTTATAATTTAATTCCATTGTTCTGGATTTAACTTTCATGGGGTTTCCAGTTGGTTACACCGAAGTTTTCTTACCAAAACTCTTCTTTCACACGCTTTCCTTTCTGGGTTTCATCCGAAATCTGATTTTCACGCTTTTTAACTTCCTCGGCCTTTCCGACTTCCTTGAAACGGACCCAGTCTGGCTGGAGAACCCGACCCGAACATGGCCGGAGAATCCCCCCGTATCGGCTCTCTTGATCAGGGAAATCCTTCCGGTCATAAAGTTCGAGGAGCTTGTCGTCGTGGGGGATCCACCGGAGAGCTGTGCCGTTTGCTTGTACGAGTTCGAAGGAGGGGAAGAGATCAGGTGGTTGAGGAACTGTAGCCACGTTTTCCATAGGGCGTGTTTGGACCGTTGGATGGACCATGACCAGAAAACGTGTCCGCTTTGTAGAACGCCGTTCGTACCCGATGAGTTGCAAGACGAGTTTAATCAACGGCTCTGGGCGGCTTCTGGGGTTGCTGATTTCTACACCGACTACAGTTCGGTTCCGGGATTTTAGCTTTCTTTCATGGTCCTCTTTTTTACCTGGAATTCTGTTCCTTTTCCTTTTGGTAACGACCTTATGAAAATTGTACATATTGCATGTCAATTTGGTGCAAAACCAATAAAAATGAAGGGGGGAAAAGAACAAAGGTTTCCATCCAGATTCTTACAGTTTGAACGTTACAATTTGATGAACCTGTAATTATCCCCACACTGAAGTTGAATTGTTAATGAAAGAGTTGAAGTTTGTACATTACAACAGGAATTTCCTAAAACGAAATGGAAGTGTATTTTTTTTTTATGAATGCGAATTGAGTTTAAAAACAGTGGGATCATATCATCAAAGCTGATGATGCATTGCAGCGTTTTCATTGAATTCTTTGCTTAATTTCAGTAAAAGCTTTAAAAATATAAACTCTATTAAATAGACTTTATAAAAAGTTCAAGGCATTATATGTAGAAACTATGGTAGTGATGAATTCTGCAGGGACGGTGGTATTCCAAAGATGATGATGATTGATGTATGAAGAAGAGTAATAAATTGAGTTTGAGTTACGTAAAGAGTTAGATGGTGGGGCATTCATTATTTGGTTTGGTTATAGTGAAGTAGGATTCTGTGCTCGACACATCTTTTTCTCAGGTACTGTTTGGCTTAAATTCCAAGCAGGCTCTATAAACATTGACGTCAAAAATAATCTAAAGTTCTGAACCGATCACCGTTGGTTGCCTCAACCCTAGGGGCCCCTACTCAACAGAGCTTAAACAGAGACATCATAAATAAAAGGGTCCCAACTGAACCTAAACTTCCCTTTTATTAAACAAAATGAAAAAGATTGTGCCTCAACTTTAACAGACGTGATCGGAGCAGATGTTTTATGGAAAGGAGAAAAAGGTTTTTGTATTAGGAATCCATTTAGAATTGGGTATTTGGGCTAATTAAAACTTCAAACAGCTTAGGTTTATAGCCCAATAAGTTGATAAACTGAGAGTCCAATTGGGTCTCCGATGATGCTCTTTGGACATTGAAACCTAATACTCGTAATTTTAATCAATGGTAAAATAGAAATATTACTCTTTTTAAAAAATTATGGTTAAAACAACTATGAAAGCAAAATATATGTAGGTTATAAATTATTAAAAAAATAACATATATTATTTTAAAGGGTAAAGTATACAAATGATCCCTTAATTATAAGGTGTTGCTATGTTGAGTCTCAAACTATTAAAAGTTACAAAATAATCACCCGATTATAACACATTATATTGTTGAGTTCCTCGACTCTTAAAAGTTACAAAATGGTCACCCAATTATTCATATATTTCATACTCATCATTTTTCGTTAAAAAATTGATGACCGTCTGAGTTGGCTATTAATCTACTAATTAGGATATGATAAGATCACATTTTAATGATGCCTACTGACATTATCGTTGCTTAAAACTCGACAACATGTTGTTTCAACACTTGCTCGACGACATAATATAAATGGAGAGTTGATGCACATAATACAACTCAATCGGTTCCAACAAATTTATTATATCTCAGTCGTTAACTTGCAACTCGGCAACTGTCAATTTTAACAAAAAAAAATGAAGAGTTTCAAAAATGTAAATAATCAAATTATTTTATAAATTTTAATAGTTAAAATACTCAACAAAAAAAAATCCTTTAATCGAGAATCATTATGTACCTTACCGTGTCTTTATGATCAACTCTAACTATTTGAAAATAGAAAGAAAAAAAAAAGAGAGGAAAAAACGTTGCTTTCTACCGTAGCCGTCTCAACGGTGTCTTGGTTTGTTTGGGGGTCATCTCAATGAGATTACACATTCAAATTGAAAGAGTGGTATGAAACGGAGTGTGTACTCTCACACGTTACACTTAACATCCCAAAGGAAGATTCTCGAAAAATTTTAAACCAGTCAAATTAAAAGTGTAAATATGACTTGGGAAATAGTAAAAGAAAATTCTTTGCTCATCGACCGAATGCAAACTAGACCGGAATCAAGTTTGACCCGGTGAAATTAACTTTGACCAAACAAAATAAGACTCGTAAACAAGGCCTAATAAGATTTAGGCTAAACTACACATTTAATACTTAAATATCATTTTTGTTCTGTTTTAGTATCTATATATATTTTTTTATAAAAATTATATCTAACATTTAATTTAAGTTTCAATTTAGAATCTTGCCGTTAAAAACTTAACAATGATATTGATTTGTCACCATAAGATAAACTACACATTTAGTACCTAAACTATCACTTTTATTATATTTTAATACCTAAACTTTATTTTTTCAAAACTATACATAACATTTAGTTTATATTTCAATTTGGAATCATGTTGTTAAAAACTTAACGATGATGTTGATGTGTCATTAAAAAATATCACATCAATATTTATGTTAATTTTTTAATGGCATGGTATCAGATATAAGCCTAAACAAAACATTGTGTATAAATTTAAAAATAAATAAAGTTTAGATATTAAAACGAAAAAAATAATAATTTAAATACTAAATGTATAATTTACGCTAAAGTTTACGATGAACAAGGGTTTTCCTCTCGGCACGTCACCCAATTTTTAAAAGTGCCAAAAAAAAAAACAGAAAAAGAATTTTTTTTACAGAAACTACGAAAATGCCATCTATTTTCAGACATTAACTAATCGTATACCCTATCGGTCTAAGCGACTCACTCACGGACGAAAAACCCCAAAAGAAAAAGCGACGCCAACATAGAAATTAAATCAGTTAAAAATTAAATACCCTAAAAATCAAAATAAGAGCACAATTAAATCAATGCAAGATACAATAATGTCAACTAAGTTATACACGAAAGAGAAATTACAAAAATAAAATCCATACCTTTTTATCCCCTTCACATTAGGGACTTCAACGATCTTGCTTTAATGGGCTTTCTCATTCGTTTCTTGCCACTGTCCCCGTTTTCGTCATCCTCCTCCTCCTCATCGACATAATCATATTCTTCGTTATCATCGATTTGTGAGGAAGACAATAGTGCCGAATTGTTTTGGGAAGTGATCACACATATGTTGTTTTCAACCTCTTTAGGCTCAATTTGATTCTTGTTGATTCCCTTTCCTTCATCTCCGTCACGTCTCTTTTTAACCCACGACGGGCCAAACCCAGAATAATAGTAAAATTCATACGGATTCGGTGTTGAGAATGAGTCTTTCCTGGATGCTCGAGCTCGTCCTCGGCGGCTCCCGGTCGGTTGATTGTTGTAATTCTCGACTTTCTTGCCGAGATTAATATTATACCCATTACCGTTGCTGTTGTTGCAAGATTTCAGCAGAGCTGGCTCTTGACTGGATTCCTCATCCCCTTCTTCTTCTTCGCATTGGCACTCGAACCCAAATTGATTGGCTGCTTTAGTCTCATTGTTATCGTCGTTACCATCGATAACCATGCCTCCCACTTTCATAATTGCTTCCTCTTCACTTCCCACCATTGTAGCTACGCTGCGTTTCGAGTAATGACGCAACACTTTTCAAGTAACACAAATTGGGTTTTCACTTTCAATAACTCGTCAATCCCATTCAAGGGCATCAACAATTTTTTTTTGAAACGGATATCTAAAAACCCTAATATAATACCACGATTCAAATTGATAAAAAGGGGTCGAATCGAAGAATATGAAGTAAATTACCTCTCAACAACGCCGATAGAATCGCCAATACTCCCATTTTCATCACAGCTATATTCCCATTCGAACTGGGTTATTTCAAAAAAGAAACCAATAAACTAAAATAAAAAACAAATAAAACCCCGAATCATGAAATAATATACGGGTACTATGAAGATCCTTCAAACTAAACCGGGCATTTGAAATGAAAACACACACGATAATGATGGAATGTAGGATTTATTTTAAAACCCTAAATGAGGAAGCCCCAAAAGGAAGGAGGGATGCAGACGAACGGAGGCAGTGGTGAAGGAGGAGAAAGCAGATCTGCCAAAGGAAACCAACAAGGAGAATAAAGGGAGCGAGAAGTTTTACCTGGTGATGAAGATACGAAGGGTACTGTTCTGGAGATAAAGGAATCACATCCCATGTTGACTGGTTCAGCCGGCAAACGTGAACATTCTCGGGCGTGTATATCAGCTTCTTGTTCTTTCGAATTCTCATGATCTTATGGATTTAAAAACTAAGAAGCAAATAGAAAATATAAGAAAATCAGAAAATGTGGGGAGAGAGAGACAAGGAGATAAAATAAATATAAAACGAACCTGAAGCCTAGAAAAGGAAAGAAAATCAAAATTATCGAGAAGGGCAGTGTTCATTTTCCCCTTCTCAGCTTGTCGTTTCTTCCTATGGTGGCTTTTATTCTATTTATTTTGCAGATCTCACAACACTCTATGAGAGGAAGAGAAATTTTACTCTTTAAGAAATATTGAATCCACAATCTAAAGAAGAAAATGACCAACTAATAGCTTTTAATTATCTGCTATAGAAATTGTTGACCTTGTTTTCAATAATAAAAATTATTGTATCTAAGTAAACATATTTAATCAGTTAGTCAAGTTGTTCATTTTTATTCCCTTATATTCCTGTAGGTCATGAATTATAGACCCACTAAGTATACTTTCTTTCTTTCTTCTAGAGTTCCTCCTTTATTTACTCTCCGGATATAATTAAGATTATGCATTTAGTATCTCAATTAACATTTTTTTTCTTTTTGATTATACAATTAATTTTTGATTGAAAAATCATATCTTAACATTGAATGTTCATACATTCTTATACATATGTGATGCTCGAATATAAAACCTTAAGAAATAACAATAATTTCTTAATTATTAAAATCACTACATCCATGCATAAGTGATATTTAAAAAAAAGATATTGATATCAATAATTACGTACACACGTCTCTACGTTAAGTTCCTTCCTCTATTAATATCTATGGTTCATATGATATATTCATATTTTCACCATTTTTAGGGTATATTTTATTTACGGCATAAATTGTACTTTTTAAAATTGTTTAATATATCAATTATATTAATAATATGATAAATATAAAATTTTCGAAAATTTTAGATAGTGTAATAGAAATAATTTTAGAAATTTTCATATAATCTTTTTAATTTAATATTAATATATATATATATATATTTAATTTAAAAAATAATAAATAATAAATTTTACTTCTAAATAACATTATATTCTATTGATCAAACACCATAATATTACATTTCTACTAAATATTTTGTTTAAACGTAACGAAACATCGTACTTAGCTCAATGGTTAGGTGTTGAAATCCTTTCCTAGCCTACCACAATTTCATTTCATTTTTTCCCTAAAATTTTCACCTATATGACATCATCTTATTGGAGTATTAATTTATTTAAAAATTAATTTTTAATAACTAAAATGAAAGTATCTTAAAAGGCTAGTGACCATCAATAGAATTTATCCAAAATTAAATAACGCAAGGAATGGTCAGGGTGCGTTTGGTTCACGGAATATAAGATTACCAGTGGGAATGTAAGATTACCAAGGAATAGCATTACTGGGAATGTTGTATTTTGTGTTTGGTTGGCTTAGCAGGAATGTAAGATTACCGTGTTTGGTTAAAGGAATAAAAGATTATTAGAATGTATATTTGACCAAATTGTCCTAATTATATATTTGTGTAATATTACAAGTTGGAAAATATTTATATATTTTCTTTAAAAAAATTAAATTCATAATATTTATATATTTTTTACAAAATTAAAAATAAAAAAAAGTTTAATGAAAGGGTAAAATTTTATTTAAACCCTTGATCTTTATATAAAATTTTAATTATAGATTTTTTTTTGTAAATCTAAAATAATTTAAGGATAAATTTGTAATTTAACATTCGTAAAATTTTTATTATTCGATGACAGAATAAATATATTTTTGAAAAAAAATAAAAATTTAAGGGCATTTTAGTCCAAAACGCCGGTAATCCAACAATACCTAAGGAAAGGGAGGTAATGACATTCCCGGTAATATACCCCAAAAAATCCACTATTGGTAATCTTACATTACCGGGAATAGGATTCCCGGGCTAACCAAACGGGGGAATGTGGATTCCATTCCCATGGGAATCCCACATTCCCCAATCCAAACACCCCCTAACAGTACAGTGCGATGACAGGAGAAGGAAAGTGACTCAAACGCGCGTGTAAGAGGTTGGTGGCAAATACACATAAGCTACATAATAAATAATAATATCTAATTTGAATACTTTTTTGAACGTTCTATTGTAATATCTGTTTTTGTATTTGAATACTTTACACATATTTTATAAATAATACTATTTGAATTATGAGAAAATTAACTATCCTCCTGCATTATATTATATTCTTTTCAGTTTATTTATGTACTATTATTATTTATTATTTTATCCCTTTCATTGCTACCATTGAAAAAAAAATCTTATGGTGCAATTAAAATATACCATGTAAATAAAGAAAATTATAAAAAAAAATTCATATGGATGCCAAATTTATAATTAAGCCAATAATTAAACTAAAATTGCTAATCATTCTCATCACCACCATATCCCTTGTAAGTAACTTCATCAGCTTTGTCACCACCACCACTTCCAGCAGCCGATTTGTTTCGATTTACAACGAAGAAACCCAAAACAAGTGCTGAAAGGTGTTGAATTTTGTTGATTCCATCACCATATCCCTGATTAGTAACTTCATAAGCTTTTTCACATATTCACGAACCCATGTTGCTGCTGTTGAGCTCTAAATGAAATCATCTATTTTTGGTTTTGCAGTGATGGGTAGAGCATTGGCGGAGGGAAGTAATTCGACTGCTAGGATGCATCGAAAGTGGAAGAGAAAACCAGTCTTGAAGAAACATTTATCGAAGAAAGAAACAATAAAAAAAAAACATTAGAAAAGAGGAACTAGAAGATGATTGGTTACCATTGAAGCAAATGATCGAACATGTTCTTGGCGTCATTGAGGGCTATAAATCTTCTTGTGAAGCTTTTGTGACATGGAAGCTTCACCAAAAACTGGTTTGCATTGTTGTTTTTCGAACCCAAAATAAAGCTCGTCCCCTTATCAATTTCCCAATCTTGCTCGCTCTCCATCTTCTCTGTTTCATCACCAACACCTTCCTTGGATTCGTCACTATTTTTCAGCAACCATTGATAAATACTTCAATACACCACTGAAGAATCGCTCACTCTCTTTATCAAAATAAAAAACTACAATGAAAACCAAAAGCCAAAATGATAAAAATAACAATAGATGGAAAACAAAATTGGAGTGCAGAATAGATAAAGGGAAAACAGAGGTCTTGGGTTAGGGAAAGGATGGTGATGTTACGGTGAAGGAAGGGAGGGGGGAAGAGGGACAGTTTTGATGGCTTCCTCGCACACGTAAGCTCGTGAGAAAAATGATTTTTTTTATACAATACATTTACAATATTATTTTTTGAATTAGAGTTTTTTATTAGTATAAAGACGTCATATATTTCTGGAATCTTCTTCATTCGCCTGAAAATATCATATAGGCGTGAAATTTTATATTTAATTTGAAGACACATGAAACACCTGACGTCTTTAAATTAATACGGTACAATTCACTTTAAATGAGAAAATAATTCCTCGATTGGATTATATTGATAATTTTTCCTCCCACATCATTTACTTAGTCATTTTGTCCAATTTTGGGATAGTTTTTATTTTATGTTATAATAATTTTTTATTTATTCAAATAAAACAAATTTGAAATTGAGGGAAGATGTGGTGTGTTGTAATTGGCCACCAAAATAAATTTTTAACGGAATTAATAATATGGAATAAACGGAAAAACGATTTAAATTTTAAATAATAAAATATTTTAAAAAATATTTTAAAAGATAACTCGATAAAAATAATATATTTTAGAAGGTAACGGTGCATTTAATCCTTTATCAAAACTTAAGCAGGGTCCAATTGGGTCAATGAGTAAAATTCTGGATACGGATTTCGGATTCGGATCAAATTGCTCGGAAATTCGGGCCCGAACAAACAAGCTAACGTCCCGTTACTTTTTGACTTTTCCAGTTTCCCGCCATCATCCATGGCTCCTATTTAAGCATCAGCGTTTCGTGTGGTGAGAGCTTTTCTCTTGTAAGTAGTGTCTAAAACCTCCTCCTCTTTTTATCTAAATTCAAACTCCAACGATCACGCTTCTGGAAATGAGGGCTTGAATTCCTCTCTCTAAAGGATTTCATCGATTCTGGAATAAATGAAGTTGAAGATCAACAAAGCCTGCGATCTTGGCTCCATCTCTGTTTTTCCACCTCATACAAGGTTCCTTTTCACTCTAGATGGTTATCCTTTGTTTCCCGAGAAAATGCACACAAACATTTACTAAAATATTTATTTCGTGAAGCTTTGCTATTATTACGAAATTGTAATTAGCTTAATAGATTTTATTCTGCGGTTTTCTCTTACTATACAGAAGTGTACCGGTGATTCTATTTCTACTTTGGTTTTCCAAAGAAAGGAATCTCCTGTTCGAAGACCTGTTTGACTGGAGGGATTTTTTTCTCTTCAAATTTCCAGTTTCATATTTTTTTCGTATTTCTTTTAGGGAAATAAGAATCACGTATGAAAAAATTATTTTGCAAAGAAAATCATGTTCATACAATTTCGAGATTGGCATCATCTAAGAACTAGGAGTTGAATTTTAAATTTGAATTTCATTGTTTATTTAATATATGTGAAGGAGATCGAGCCTGCCACCGAGTGTGCCACAATCATCACAGCTTAGATCACAGCCATCACAACAATCGTTCTCACAGGGGATTCCATCTCAGCATGCCTTATTTTCTCAGATCTCACAAAATTCACTCGATGAAATCGTGACAACTGATCAGGTTGAATCTCAACTCCCTTCTTTTTCTTTTTTCCAGCATTCAAGTTTGTATATAAACCTCCTTAATTTTCTTATGAGAAAAAAAAATGCATTATGCACTTCATTTTTGCAGAGATTTGGTTCCCAAGAACGAGAGAATGTTGCCAACAAGATTTCTTGCTTGGTTCCAAATAAATTCACAAGAGAAGATAGTCAAGTGCCGATTTCTAGATCTTCCACTGCACGGAAATGGAATTCTGTTTCTGCTCCAGAGCATAGATGTAAGGTTACTATCTAGTTATTTACTACGTTTAATATGACCAGTTTAATGATCTTTCATTTAATAAAGCTTTTGCACTGCATTTTTCTTATAGTAAAGCTGTGGATGGATGCTGAATTTTTTATTTGCTTGAATAGGTCAAACTTCAGAAGAACTTGAGCACCGGATGTCAGTGATTGAAACTTCATTGAACAGATTTGGGATGATCTTAGATTCTGTCCAAAATGATGTAATGCAGGTGAACAAAGGAATAAAAGAAGTGTTGCTGGAAAGTGAGTCATTTAGTTCCTTGAGGTTACAAAATTCAGAGAGATGATAACTTATTGTGCCATGGTTATAACCATTAATAACTTGTTTGTCCGCATAAGATTGCTATAGGCCTGTCATTCTAGGACATGGATACAAAGGAGAAACCAAGCTCTACCTTTCGTTATTCTAGTACACAATGTTATAGTATCTGACGTAAAACCAATTGGTTATATGTGGCGAGCCCAACTCTGATATAAAAGTATATAATACCTGACATATAGGATAAACTAATTAACAGTCCCCATGTATAGAGAACCTACATATGAACAACCTTGCCTTGGATTTGGCAAAAGAAAGGAAAACAACTTTAGTACAAAATCATAAGAAACTCAACTTCTTTTTTTCATTAGTTAAATGAAGTTTCTTACAATTTTTTTTTTCAGTGGAAGGAATGCGGCAGAGGTTGATTGCTGAAGATACCTCTCTACATCTAATGGTAACTAATAACACATCATTCTCTCCTCTTTTACTTTGTAAATTGACCAGCCTTGTTCTGAGCATGCATAAATATAGAAATTTTAAGACAATTGGGATTTGGTAAACAGAACAAGGGACAAGAAGATATCAAAGCCAGCCTTGATGGCAGCATGAAAGCTATATCTGATAAACTAAACAATGCTATATATGGTGACAAGTTACAAAACATCTTCTTGGTGCTTTCTGATTTACCAGAACAGATGGAAGCTTCTTTAATCAAATTACAGAACGAGCTTTGCAACACATTCACCAACGAAATAAAGGTATGCATATGCTGTAAGAGTTAAACTCCAAAATGCATAGAACATTTAGACTTTTAAATGATGCATTCAGTTCCATGGTCTTGAATGGCATGAAAATTCTCTTGAAGTAAATCATCATTTCCTTTTTCCAATATAAACAGCTCTTCGGTGTTCCCTCTTTTCAAACATTTTCTGTCAATCATGTTCTCAGCTTGTAAAGCATTTTATTATCATTGTATTGGAACCTTCAGACAATCGCTGGCAATGTGAAGACTCTCATCCAAAATGGTCCAGTTGCTACTGCTCTTCCACCTAAGGTGCTTTTTTGTTCTCGTTGAATAATTCTGTATCTTTAAAGAAATCATGTAATAACAGCAGAATTTCTCAGTAAAACTTTCTTATTCGCGAACATTCAGTTTTCCGGCTGTTGTGCAACATCACAAACCAAACCATTGGCAGATAAGAAGTACGAAATACTTGGACTATTGGCTCTACTGTTACTGTCTTCACTTCAAAATTCTAAAACATTCTCTTGATTCCAGGCAAGCTGTGCCTCGAAAGGCTTATGAGCAAGCCTCTCTAGCTCCAGAGGTAGACAAAGGAGGTTGGAAATATGTAAAACTGAAACAATCTGCTACAAATGAAAGGGCATACCGCAAAGAAAACGACAAGAGGAAAGGAGCTTCGTCTGTTGAGCAGGTAGTTCTTACTTCACCTTGGTTTTTATTTTTCTCCTCCACTTTTCCCCTGGCTCCCATTCTTCAAGCTTTCTAATGGAGATATGCTGGCCTGTTTGAGGATATTCTAAGGCAATTGATTTGCTCGAATAATGAGTTGCACAGATTTTCATTACTTCCCCATTTGATAGTTTGTTTTAGCTTATTTGCTGCCTTGAGTTGTTATGCTTTAATTGAAGTGACAATCGTCGATTCAGGAAACATACAGAATCGTAATTGAATCAGATGAAGAGATTGATGCAGGGTTTTCCTGCTTGTTTAGCGGCAAGGAAACAGGTACCCACTTAACAAAATAAGAGAGACTACATTATTCAATTTCTGCTTATTAGTTACAGAGTGATGATTTCAAACACTAATCTGTTTTAGCTATGTTCCTCCAACTCCTCATCTTCCTCGAAATACCAATGCCGAACACAATTGTAAAACTTTAGAGAAAAAAGTATATCTATCAAAAGAGTTTGCATTATATTTTTTTCCCATTTTCCCATTTTATTGTTTTCATTTCAACTAATGCAAACTGGATAACATGGATATCTGTTTTCACCAGTTGGTTTGTCTTGATAAATAGTATATTTCCATAACTTGCTGCTGTGTAAAGGTTCTAATTTCTCTTACCATTTCTTTTTTCTGAACATGTATTTTTTTTAAGATGCCACAACAAACATTTTGTTAGAGGAAGCAAAGGAAGAGACAGAACGAATTTTGAGGAAAGCTAGGCGGCGAAAGAGAAAGTCCCATAATCGCATAATTATTAATTGAAGGTACCAACGCATATAATAAGCATAAAAAATTGCAGGGAGAAGCTATTTCATTCCACACAAAATGCTGGTCTTGAATTTTTTAGAATCATAAATATATGTTGATATCGATTGTACTGAGCTAGATCACGTTCCACCAATGATTGGAATCGACTTTCTTTAGACATACTTTGATTTTGTAACTAACACCATTACATTTTAGTCTCCCATCTTGAACAAGTCTAAGTCCACTTAATACTTTTATGTTCAAAAAGTATGTTTGTATTTTTGTTAGGGTGCTTTTTGAATTTTTAAAAAAAATTATATTTATAATTATTATAATTAGATGATATGATTCGAACACCAAATAAAAAATATATCAATGTCATTTAATCATTAAAATGATAAATAATATTTTTATTAAAATAAATTTATTAAGTCAAATAACACTAATTTAATTAAAATTTATACACATTTTTTTCTCAGATTATAAATACATTTTTAGAAGTATTTTTATCTTTAACATTTCAATATGATATTTTTAAATAAAAACACCTAAGTCACCCCTTGAAAAATATCGTCCCTAAAATATACTTCCATTTTTTATTTCCTTAAAATGAATATAATTTTTTTCGTCCAAATTGTGATTGTGGTATAAGATAATATAAATATGTATTATATTAAATGTGGTGTAAATCGTAGGGATGGCAAACGGGTATAATTTCGTGGATTCTGCATCGTACCTGCTCCAATTGGGCCGGGGATGGGTATAACTTTAATGGGTAGTGGGCGGGTGATGGGTTTGATACCTTACCCGCCCCGCATCCGCTCGTCCCGCATCTGCCCGCCCCACATCCACCCGCCCACTAAATACACATTAAATTTTGGACCATTATGAATTTAAGTATAATTTTAGATACTAATTCATAAATCTTAATATTGTATAAGATATAATTTATAATCCTTGGTTTATTTTATTATGCTTCTTAATGAACGTGTTTGTTTTATGTATGTTGCTTATGTATATATTAAGATTGCTGTCAGGCGGGTCTAGCCGGGTACGTCTCCAGTTAGGTAGTGGGTGTGAGGATGGATTTGAGAATATACCAGCGTGGATGGGTGTGGATTTGAAAAATTTTACTAATCATGGGTGGTGGGCGGGTGGTGGATTTAAAAATATTAGGTGGGTATGGGGATAGGGGAGGGGTATCCGCACCAGACCCGCCCGTTTGCTATCTAGTAAATTGCGTGATACTTTCATTATCGAAAGTAGCTCTTCATAAGCCTTGATATTTACTTGCTACTGATTTTCCTTCTAGAGACACTTTTTTTTCTTTGGAAACAAACTAGCAAATTAGAAAATTTGCTATGTGCTATTTCAAATCAAGTAGTGCTATTCAAACCCAGAAGCTTATGAATGGACTGTTTCAGGTGCTGAATGTTGCTTGGGATTTTCGCGTTCCAATTGCAAGCGAGAATGTTTTTCTTTGCCATGTCAGAGTAAGCTATAACAAGATACGGGACAATGCCAAGCCAGTAAATGATCCAAATGGGAGACATTTTTCATTTTTCACTTACCATAGGCTCAGCCCACTTCTCATGGAGAGACGGAATTTCATAAAATTTGAACGGTTTGTCAAGCGAATGCATGGTGAGTTGCTAAATAAAACTATACATTCTCTTTCTCGAATTCATTGGTGATCATCCTCCCATGATAAGAATTCAGATTGCATAAAAATTCGACATATTAAGGATGAGATCACTTTGAACATAACAATAGCTTTTGAGTAAACTGATGGGGCCCTATCTCATCATCTTCACTGGTGGTGAAGCCGTTCTGGATTCTCAGGTGTAGCAAGGCTTAGGGAAGCACTTAAAAATATATACCATTTTCAATTGCCTCTAGACAATTGTTGCATGTTAGGGAGTAGTGAATTCCTTGTTAATATATATTAAAGCATGAATGTTTACTGGATAAAATAAATTGCCTATTATGTACAGAACTTTCTTACCATTCTTGTAACTATTCCATATCATGGTAATTAAGCAATAAACCATGGTGCACATGGGGGGAAACTAGAACATATTTACGAGCTCGGTTTACTTCCCAACTCTCAAATCTTTTCCTGGGTGATAACTCGGAAACCTCTCAGTTGATCCACCAGAAGATTCAGCTTCTTCCATCTCATTGAATGTTCCGTATGTGGAAGGCGAATAAGCTTGAGGGATATCCAAAGCAACTGCTCTATGAAGAGCTGCCTTGTGCTCTTCACTATGTTCTCGAGCAAGAGACTTTTGCCGCACCATTTTCTGCTTTGTAGGAACTCGCATTATCCCGTCTTTCTCCAGCATCAACTACATTAAGCAGCATGTGAGCTTTATTATTTTGTTCGAATAACGAAACTATTTTCCTATTTCTACCAACCTAAAGTATCCCACCTTTGACAGTTCAATTCATATCTTAGTTGATATTATTAAATGCAAAAAGAAACTAATAAGCTCATCAAGGTACAAGCAGAAGCAAGTACCTAAATACAGAAAGTATACATGACTTTTCACTGTATAGTCAGTTGCTTCTTGATTATGCTCAAATTCTTAAGTATAGGTTTATAGACCCATACCCATAGCATTCTAGTTCTAAACACAAAATTTAATTATACTATCCATATTGTGCCTTCCGGCACCGCAGAAGCTCCCTGGAGCTAGGGTTCCTAATAATTTGTCCCCAACTGAACTAAGACAGCTAGTTTAAGGTTCAAGCTCCCACTTCGGTGCTGAAACATTTCTTTAATTGCTTTATTTGCCATCTTAGATGCATAAAGATTTTAAAGGGCAAGAAGCTGTTAACTTACATCAAGAGCTCTTTGGGACTCTCTTTCTATCCAAATAATGGCATGGTCAGAGGTTGCATTGCAGGAAAGAACTATATGGTCAAACCTCCCATCCACCGGAACTGCCGTCCTCACCACTGGGGGAAATCTTCCTATCCTGCAACCAGGATGAAGAGAAATGCATGTGAAGCGCAAACCTAAAACACTTCTCAATCAATCACAATCCAATAAATGCGATAATGATATGAAAGATATTTATTTGACCACAGCTGGGAGTCTTGGACTTATTAAACTCTTTTACCGAGAACTCTCATCCGAGTGTTTATTCACATAACACCATTAATTATTAAGGGAGTTTGATCCCTTCTGTAAATGGCATAAAAGAAAACCGAGTAATTCACGATATAGTGTTCAATGATTTACAAATTTGTCAATGTAACCTGCAGGGCCTTCTTTCAACAATGTGGTATAGGCGTCCGGGGGCATAAAGCCGCCTGGGATCTTTAAGCTTCTTCTCCTCCATGATGCAAGTGTCTTTCAAGCACATTAGGCACAAAAGACATGGTAAACTGCAGAAAAAATAAAACCAGCCCTGTTATGGAAACATCAAATCATTCCCAAGAATGAAGAGAGTTCTATTTTCGAAGATCACATTTTGAAGAACTAAAGTAATTAAACATAAAATATTAGGAAACCCCACTATTCAGGAAACTAGTAATGGAAAGGTGACTAAGACATACTATATTTTACCAGAAGAGTAATTTGAAAACATCTTCCAAAGCGGAGGTCGTTCGAGGTAAAAAATCATCCTGGTTCATTACAATAGCTCATGTTAGGATCTAAGCCTACAATATATTATCAATAGACATTCGAGAATGCTGATCTAGCCCTAAACTTTATAACCAAATTTGACAAGCTGAAGTCAAAGATCAAGTCCACATATACCACAAATACATACAAATGTACAATCTATAGTATGACAAGTTTACCTGAAGCACTATCGAGTTAATTACATCTGCATATCGAACTGCTACGTTGAGTGACATACACCGAGCAGGCGCAATGGCATAGCATCTAATCCGGGTCCTCTCCATGATTCCCAATTTGCTACGATTTTGAACTGCAACCATCGCCAACAAGGCCACCAATCCCGCCCCAAGGGAATGACCTGCAAATGTCAAAGTGTAGCTAGGATGCTTCTTAACCAATTCCCTTAAAACCTCACACTCAGCATCGAAAACCCACTCGGCAGCCTTCAATAACCCATTGTGCACATATCCACCATCAAATTTTGTCTGCCCCAGTCTGTTGTCAAGCAAAACAGCATAATCACTTTCCTTAGCCAAGTTAAGTCCCCTAACAGCCAAGACAATATCAGCGTTATCATGGTCCAAATAAATAAAGTAAGGTGGAGCTCGGCCTTGAGTTTCTTGGTCATTTCTTCTTAAGAAAACCCAATCAGGATCGATTCCATAGCCTCCAGGGGGTGCCCAAAGAGGGTTATGAAGATCATCTTCATAAACAGATAGAATTAAACGGCACAGACGTGGCACCGGCTCGAATTCTTCCACTGTGGCTAAACCCCAGTGCTCACTTTCATGGCCTGCAGTGTATAGACATTTCTGCCATACCCAACGGGCACAGCCTAAACAGTAAACACATTCAAGGATGGGACAGCAACAGGCGATTGACATGGGCTCCCCTATGAATCAAACACATTTAATAACTTGCAAGTGATCAATCTAAAGATTAAGTAACATAAAACAGATATAAAAGAAGAGTTTTTCTTTTTCTGAATCAATGGTGGAAAATTGTACAAAGGTAATTAAGGTCGACTAGAACTGGTTTAGATTTAAGTTGTCAAAGGAAGCATTCAAAGAGGATTACTAGTAGGCTCTGAAATCCCAGGTTGGTCCAATCATCAGCCAAAATAGAAGATGAAGAAGGAATCCCAGCTGATCAAGAGGAAACTACAAGAAAACAAAAGTTACCCACATAAAAGCTCCAATAAAAGAGTGACGGAAAAAAGGGAAAATAAAATATTAAAAACAAAAAGGAGAAAACTTTGAAACATAAAGGGGGAATTCAAGAAAGCAAAGAAAGGTATTAGGATTTGGGGTAAGTGAAGATTGGATAAGTTTAGTGGTGGGTTTTGGGTTATGTTATACAGCTACCCTTCCGACAGCGGTTGGATGCGAATTAGCAAAGGAAGAGAAGACACAAATATTAGAAGAAAAGCATGGATGAATAGGGTAGAGAGCTTGTTGGTACCAGCTAGTCAAACCCATTTTTGCTTGTTATGGAGACTACGCAATATGGAATGATTCCATTTTCAATATTGAAAAATGTTTTTTTTAGTTATTTTGACAAAAAAAATTAATTAAAATACTCTAAAAAATAAGAGCCAAAATTACCATTTAAATAAATATATGTGCTACTTTGATCGTTATGCTTTAATAAAATTATCAGTTTTACAGCTCAACAATAAAATTTTCCAAAATCTCATTTTTTTTATATGTAAACAAAAACCACTAGTTTTATTAATAAAAGAGGAAAAATCCCATAAGCGTAAGCTATATATATAGTTAGTTAGTAATTTTCTATGGACATTGATATAAAGACCATATAAGAAAAATATTAAAAATTCATCCAAAACTCAAATAAGATATAGATATAAATATATCTAATTATACCGAAAAATGAACCGCAAAATAAATCAAAGAAAATATAAAAAATCTCTGCATTTTACAAGCAAAACCCCCTAGTAGAATTGAGAAAAAAAAACCCAAAGGAATTGTCTTTCATTACAGCAACGATACTCCCCATGTAATATTATCAAATACCAACTGATACATTGTGGTGGTACACACATTAAAAACCAATATCTTCAAGTAATTACACCATAACCAAACCTGCAAATGGGGAAGGAGCTTCATTAGTTCTATATTGGTTCATAAACACAAAGAAGGAAGCGTTTTAAACATATAGGGCGCACCCCCCCCCCCCTAAAACCCAATAAAACAATGGACCGAATCATTTGGTCCGTCTATTTCCACTCGATAGTTAAGTAGGAAGAAAGCATACGTGCATGGAATCATTCCATATTGCGTAGTCTCCACTCGATAGTTATCATTTTAGTTTTTTTCATTTGTTGAAGGTTTCTTGATAATTATAATATCATCTTTTTAAATATAAAACGGTGAAAAACTTCGTTGGAATGGAGGGCGGTGCATAATTCGAAATCGAATCAATTCCACGGTGGATGACATTTCTTCAACGAGAAAAAAAGTTCAAAGCTCGGATTTAGATTCATCTCCACTATCAATCACGCCATGCATACTACCCTCCTTCTCGACTATCTCTCATCCTCGACGACGATGATTCTGTTATTAAAGATTTTATTAAAGTAAAACAGAAACTCTTCAATAACCTTAAGAAATTCAAGAATCGAAACGATATAAATATCAAAGATTATATAAAATCATTTATTAATTTATTAAAGTAATATTACATATAAACTTATTTTTTCAAAAAGATGTTAGATAAATCATCCAATGTTAATGTGAGTTTCGCTCGTGGATGAAATTGATAGATGGTGAGAGAAGATAGTGGAAAAAAAATAATATTAACAAAAATAATTAAAAACATTAAACGAGCCTAGTCCAAGGGCAATAATGTCAGGCCCAAAAGTTACCAATTTTCGCGGATTTAAAACGCGGCAAAATAAAATTTAAGGACAATAGTGAGAAACTAGAAAATTTAAGAGGCGAAAACGCGAGAATAAATATAATGCACCCTATTTTTTAAAAGGTTAAACTACATTAGATAACACTGAATCATGTAAAATGATATTTTTGATCATCAAATTTTCAAATGTTACATTTAATCATTAAACTTCACAAAATATTACAAATTGATCATTAAATTTGTAAAGTTATTATAAAATAGTGATTAAAGTTAATAAATAATTACAAAATAATTATTAAATTTATCAAACTATTATCAAATGATCATTAAATTTGTTAAACTTGTTATATCATCGAAGATGGTCTCTTAAAACATCCAAGTCTTTGTCAAATCAGACTCAATGAAACTGTCAGCATTCTGCTAACCAAGGTCTCCAGACATATCCCTCAACCTACCAGAACCTCCAACAAGCTTACATCATTCAAATACAAACTTCCTAATCAGCTGAAGTATATAGACAAGACATTTGACAGGCCCACATGACTTATCATAACATGATCTAATATCTGACAACCATATTTGTCTAACTTATTAGTCTACAAATATCCATAATGACCTGACGATTGACAAACATACTAAAGGTCACTAAAAATATCTCAAACCAAGATTGAAAAAAGGGTCAGAACCCTTGTAACCTCTATATCGTTTTCTTCATCTTTCATGACAAACTCTTTTCAATACAAAAACATCGATTATGACTCTCTAAACAAACTAAATTTAGTAAACCACCAACGGTTGACAAGATAAATTTGTTCTCATAAAAAATTACTATAAAATAATGTTTAAATTTATCAAAATATATTACTATTTATAACGTCACGTAGACTATTTTATATTAGATCGATAAATATAATTATCATTTTAAAATATTTAAAAATTTAATGATTAAAATATCATTTTAGCATTGTTGAGTGCCTTTTAGAATACTTCGCCCTTCTCAAAAATAAAATAAAGGTTAGGGTTAGGGTTTAGGCAAACAAGAGGAAGAGAGAGGAGTCGATTCAAAGGAGGTTCCAATAGAGGAATATGTCGAAGAAGAATAGTTTAGCTCGTAGAAAAAGACAACACGATTTCGATCTCAGAAGTATGAAATTCTTCATTTTACTCATCTTTTTCTCTGATTTTGTGTGTTGTGATTTATGATTTTGTATATATCTTGGAAAATTAGGGGAGAAGGAAGAGAAGGAGAAGGCGGCAAAGAAGCTTCAAGCAAAGAAGAATAAGATGAAGGTGTGCATGTTATTCTTCCATTGGCTGATAAATTCCATTTTAATTTTGTTTATTTAAGGATTTATATAATGGGTATGTGTAGGTTGATGGTAATGGGAAGAAAAAGAAGAAAATTGGAAGCGGGTTTCAGGTAGGGAAGAGAAAATTGAAGACCAAGTTAACTGAAACTGCTAAAGCCAAAGCAGCTCAAGCAATGGAGCTCGACAAATGAGGTTCGGTTCATTCATGTTCAGCTTCGTGGTTATTTATTTTTTGAGGATATATACTTGTTAAAGAGATTGAACCATACGTTAGCCTGAGAATAAGCTTTTAGTAAATTTGGCTATCTGTGGCTAAAGAATTTCGATCTGGATTCTGGCATGGCAGTTTACCCTCTTAATTTGATAGTTAGTCAGCTGCATTGTTTTTTTTAAAAGGAGTTTTATGATCTATGCTATAGCTTTAGGTTAACCTATTTGCCTTAACAATTGAACTGAATGAAGCAAACAATCTATAAAAAAATGCTTTCAAGTCCCTTCCACCATTGACTGTAGCGATCTTTGGAATTTACTTCACAACTTGCTCCGCTGTTTACGGCTTACGTGACATGTTGGTGCCTTCAAGAGTCAAAAGTTTGGTAATGAAAGAGAAGAGTAACCTCCCGACTATATGCGAAGTTCCACAACTTGGAAGCAAATTTCAATCTTCTACTTCTTGAAATCTATCCAAAATTAAACGTAACATTGTTAGAAGACAGGATCTACTGTCTACCACAACATAGGCTAGGCTATAATGAACTTTAAGAAGAAAAAGTTCCAAATTTTGACAAGAAGACCTATGCTTATATTCTATACATTTTCAATAGTGTTTTTAGGAATAACAACAATAAACATGTAATTTTTTTCAAAACTGAAATTTATAGTTTTTAGATTTTGCTTCATAAGGAACAATTGAAAGTTCTGATTGCAGGGAAGCTTATGCACCCGATGTAAGGATTTTGCTTGATGATTTGGGGTATTTATTTTTTGAATTCGTTCCAGTGGAACTACATTTTGTTCAATTTCTTTGTTACCATCAGTCGATGATAGCAACAATTGGTGAATTTAATGCATACTATACGGAATATTAGTTCCTTATGAAACTGTTTCCAATTGTTTTACTAGTCAATGGCAACCAGTTCGTCTCTAAAATCCATACAAACAAAACCCCTTCTTCAATGACAATTTATTCCAAAATCTCCATTTTCCGCAATAAAACCCTTTAAAGAAAAATGCCTCAATCGTTTAATTCAACAAATTTTTCAATGGCTCTCTCTTTAGATCTTACACCGTTCCCACACCAACTCTACCAAAAAATCTTGGTCGACTTCACCGTTACTATTGATCCACCAAAAGATATTTATCAGAAGAGTGAGATTAGAAAGAGGAGACTATGAGTCTCATGTTTAAATAATATGTCGGTTCGTCGGTCGGTGGAAAAGGACTGAAGGAGCGGCAACGACAAGAAGATTCTTGTTCTGGAAAAGAAATAAAAAAAGTTTTTATTGCTAAAAAAAAAAATAAGGAGAGTAATGAAGTTGTGGCAGTCATAACTATACGGAGAGAATGAAACTGAAAAGGAGGTGGTCGAAGATATTATTAGCCGGAGAAGGTGATCAATCGGAGAATTATAGGATTTGGATTAGATGGTAGTATAGTCCCCCCCCCCCCGGGGGGGTTCTGGGAAGAGAGGTTGAGAGAAGTTTTTTTATATGGTAAAAAGATGTGTTTTTAAAAAATTAGGGTCAAATTAGAATGTCATTAAATTAATAGAAATTAATAATTGAGTGATCAAACTATATATAACAAATCAATAACATAAATATCAAAAATATAATTTTTTAAAACTTGATGATAGAAATAATCTTAATTACAACAAAAATTATCAAATTTATAGTTTACCCTTTATATTTTTAAAATAATGTCCTGGAATAGAATGCTACTATTTAAAAGTAATTTTGATATTATTATTTTTTATAATCACCTATGTTCGATTAATCCCATTTTTGACATTATTATTAAAAGACAATTTTTAGATTATTGAAGTTATTAAATTGAAAATTTTGTATTTATCTTTTAATTTTTTTTGTTTAAATTATCAATATTTGATCTATTGATCAATTAACTTAGATAATGTATTATAGTGATATATTATAAAGGTGACCATCTCAATTCAATTTGTTATATTTACAAGTTACAACGTTGAAATTCAAACTCTTAGCTTACTTAAGGATCTAGTATCTTATTTTATTATATTAACTAATTATTAAATATTTATCTATTATTAGATAAACTATCAAAAATATATACCATGATTAAAAAATATATTATTTATATAATATATCTCAATATAAGTAATAAAAATTAATATTAATCTATTTAAATACAATTCAACTTGACATTTTTAAAATTTTATAATATACTATCAAATATATATTTAAAATTTCACATTAATCCTAAATAATTAAACCTCGAAATATTTTTATAAAAATATTTTTTATAACATTTTTTGAACAACACCCTTCAAAAATAATGTCAAATTAGCCCCATTTTGTCTAAAAACCCATTGATGTTTTGCCAACATCATCATGCCTTCTTCTAAGGAAAATATATTTGATAATTATACCAATCCAGTTTATCATTTTCATTTGTGCTGTTAAATTACAGCTTTTATTAGTAAATTATAAAGTTGAAATATTTGAATTTATACTTGATTTAATTGATTCTAATAATTTCAAAAAAAATGATATTTAATAATTTAAATTTTGTAATATATTATGATTTCTTTAAATGAAATATTATTTCAAAGTTGGCCGAAAAGAAGTTGGATATGTTATAATGAATGAAATATATATGATTTCATAAAGAATTATCAGATCAACGTGTATGGATTTATTTGATAGCTATATTTTGTCTTGAAAAGAGATGGTAGGTCTACTTTGTGCTATAACATGTGAATTTAGTGGCATCGACCTTTTAACCCAAATCATCATGATCTCTTAGCATTGAATTTAATATATCCCAAGCTCCTGATTCACAAAAATAATAATGATAATGGAAGCAATATGAGACTTCATTTGAACGTAATCGTGATCTCAAAATACTTTTTTTTTTTAAAAATTAATGATTTTTCTCCTCAACATCAATATTCGGTCTATTAATAATTAATTTGAGTTGAATACTACATAAATTTATTGTAAAATAATCATTCCAATCCAATTTATTCAATTCACAACTTCAAGATTTAAACCCATAATCTCATTTATCCACTGAAATCAGGTTTTTGTGAATTTTAATTATATTTTCGTATTTTATTTATTTTTATTTTAGTCATTACCCGTATATTTACATATATTTAAGGTAAATATTCATATTAGTCCTTATAATTTTGATAAATTATATTTTAATCTGAAAAGTAATTAGGATAAATTACATTTTTAGTACCTAGTTTTTATAATATTTCGAATTAGGATTATGATTTTTATTATTTTTAATTTAATCCTTTAGGTTTAAAATAATAATTTTAAATATTATTTTTTAAAATTATTTACTATTATAGTACTTTGTATATTAAGTATTTATTAATAGTAACCTATAATTTTGATATTTTCTTGATTAAATCATTAAATTTATTATATGTAATTGAGTTATATTATTATTTGTTAAAGGGATCATAAATTAAATTAAATACAAATTTGTTAATTTATTGTAAAAAATTAATTAATAAAAAAATGTACTAATTTTGGGCGTTGTTGGTGACCAATCACACCTCAATCAATGATTGGTGGCGACTCCTCAAATTTGTGTTTTATCTTATGCCAGAAGAAAAACACTTACTTTTTCGAGACGATATTTAGAAAATAACGACACTTGTTTTCGCCGGACGAATATTGTCTCCACAGTATGTAAATAAAGTTTTTGTTTAAATTATACTTTTTGACGTAGTAAGAGCCCCTGATTATACACAAAAATCGAATTTATTCTTCCTCCGCTGAAACACTAAAATTGTTTAAAGATGTGATCTCAACACATCTCATTATTGCTTACTCGAGTATATTCATTTTATTCGTTATGGTTTCATATAGTTAATATGTCTCCATTGTGCCGACATAGTGGGGATACCTCTCTTTTCGGCTAAGAGCGTTGAGCCACCTCCGTTATAAGTGTTAAGATGCTTCTACTTTCTTCTGGACTTAAATATTGTTGTCACCAACAATTAGCCTAAAGTGTTGAGATGCCTCCAAATGCGACGAAGCCTCTACCTACTAACTGTTGAACAGTTGAGTTATATCTGTATCTATAAAATCGTGAGTTACCTTTGAGGGTGTTGATTTGTTTTTACCCAAACTTATGACTACGATTCTACCCGATGGGTCGAGATGTCTACGCTACAGTATTGAAATACCTTTTCTTTTCTTTAACATGACAAAGATGCCTCAGTTCTACATGTCATGAACGGTACCATTGAGATGTCTCTGCACCTACCATAATAAGTTGCCGCAAACTAAGTAGCTTCCTCTACCTGGTCAAGTAGCGTTGAGATGCCTTACGCTCTTCTTAGAGTACGAGATTACGTCCTAAAGCTTGCTGAAAGAGTTGAGAGTCCATGCTTACGTGTCAAGATTAGGGATTGACGTGGGTTGGGATTGGGTCGGTTTTGGCCGACCCGACCCGAAAACTATACATTTTTCACCCGACCCAATCCGAAAAATATATACGCTTCACCCGATTCGAACCTGATCTAATTTTTTAAGATAAAATCCGAACTCGATTCGACCCAAACTGAAATAATAATAAAAATATTATTTTTATTCAATAAAAATAATGATTTAATTGAAAAAAATAATATATAGAGATATTATTGTAATTATTCTTAAATATATAAGGTAAAATTATTTTTTAGGGTCGGGTCGAGTCGAGTATTTTTTATCCTAAACTTGAATCAAACCCGAACATCGCCTATAAAAAAACTCAACCCAAACCCCATTTTTTTAAAAATCCCTGATTCGATCAAATAAAATCAAGTCAAAACCCGTCAGATTCATGCTTTGTTATTTATTTACCGCGGCAAAGATGTTTTAATTCTACATGCCGTGAATAATAAAGGTTGAGATGTCTTTTCACCAACTATAGTACGTTACTGCAGACAGAACTTGATCAAGTACCGTTGAGACGCCTCACGCTCTTCTTAGGCTACGAGATTACGTCCTAAGCTTGTTCAAAGAGTTGAGATCCCATGCTTCTGTGTAAAGATGCTTTGTCATGTTTTTACCATGACAAAGTTGTTTCAGTTCTACATGTCGTGAATAGTAAAGTTGAGATGTTTTTTCACCCACTATAGTACGCGTTACTGCAGACAGAGTAACCTCCTCTACATTGCTAAAAAGCATTGAGAT